TCCTTGTGACATAATATATGATCTATTTTTGAGAAGGATCCATGTGCTGCTGATAAAAAAGTGTAACTGCTTGATGTTGGGTGGTATATTCTATATATGTCAATTAAGTCTAGGTTATTAATTGTGTTATTGAGTTCTATAGTTTCCTTATTCAACTTTTGTTTGGAAGATCTGTCCAGTGGTGATAGAGGTGTGTTGAAGTCTCCCATGATTACTGTATGGTGGTCTATTAGACTCTTGAACTTGAGAAGAGTTTGTTTGATGAACATAGCTGCACCATTGTTTGGGGCATATATATTTATGATTGTTATGTCTCGTTGGTGTATGGTTCCCTTGAGCAGTATGTAGTGTCCCTCTTTATCCCTTTTGATTAACTTTGGCTTGAAATCTATTTTATTTGATATGAGTATGGATACTCCTGCTTGTTTCCGAAGTCCATATGAGTGATATGATTTTTCCCAACCTTTCACCTTCAGCCTATGTATGTCTTTTCCTATCAAATGCGTCTCCTGTAGGCAGCATATTGTTGGGTCTTGTTTGTGATCCATTCTACTAGCCTGTGTCTCTTGATTGGTGAGTTTAAGCCATTAACATTCAGGGTTATTATTGAGATATGGGTTGTTCTTCCAGCCATATTTGTTTATTTATGTTACTAAACATGGTTTGTTTTCCTCTTTGATTATTTTCCCCCCTTTAGTGTCCTACCTCCCACTGTTGGTTTTCATTGTTATTTTCCATTTCCTCTTCCTGTAATGTTTTGCCAAGGATGTTTTGAAGAGATGGTTTTCTAGCTGCAAATTCTTTTAACTTTTGTTTATCGTGGAAGGTTTTAATTTCATCTTCCATCCTGAAGCTTAATTTCGCTGGAAACACAATTCTTGGTTGGAACCCATTTTCTTTCAGTGTTTGAAATATGTTATTCCAGGATCTTCTAGCTTTCAGAGTCTGTGTTGAAAGATCAGCTGTTATCCTGATTGGCTTACCCCTAAATGTGATCTGCTTCCTTTCTCTTGTAGCTTTTAAAATTCTCTCCTTATTCTGTATGTTGGGCATCTTCATTATAATGTGTCTAGGTGTGGGTCTCTTATGATTTTGCACATTCGGCGTCCTGTAGGCTTCTAGGATTTGGGGTTCTGTCTCATTCTTCAAGTCTGGGAAGTTTTCTCGTATTATTTCATTGAATACATTGCTCATTCCTTTGGTTTGAAACTCTGTCCCTTCCTGTATCCCAATGACTCTTAAATTTGGTCTCTTGATGTTATCCCATATTTCTTGGATGTTCTGCTCATGGTTTCTTAACAGTCTTGCTGAGCTGTCTATGTTCTTTTCAAGTTGAAATACTTTATCTTCATTGTCTGATGTTCTGTCTTCTAAGTGTTCTACTCTGCTGGTAGTATTCTCAATTGAGTTTTTAAGTTGGCTTATTGCTTCCTGCATTTCTAGGATTTCTGTTTGTTTGTTTTTTATAACCTCTATTTCCCTGTATAGTTGATCTTTTGCTTCTTGGATTTGTTTATGTAATTCATTGTTGAAGTGATCTTTCATTGTCTGATTTTGCTGTCTGATGTCTTCCTTGAGACTCCAGATCATCTGAAGCATGTATATCCTGAATTCTTTATCTGACATTCCATCTGCTGCAGCTATTACCTCTTCTAACGTTGAGTTGACCTGCAATGCTTGTGGTCCTTTCTTTCCTTGTCTCTTCATACTGTTCGCGTTCCTTTCTACTTGGTGAAACTGTTGTGCTATTGAATTTCCCCCCTATATATTTATATTGGTCTTGTATAGTTGCAAAGTCTCCCTCGCAGGCGCGGGCGGCGGCTCTGTCCCTCTGCGGGCCGCTAGGCTTGTTCTGTCGGTGGTCACAATTCTGTCTACTTTGCAGGCGCAGGCAGCGGCACTGCCCCTCTGCAGGCCTCTGGGGCTGTACTGCCAGTGGGTCGCAGGTCCGCCTACCTTGCAGGCGCGGGGGGGGGGGGGGGGCGGCTCTACCCTTCCTCAGGCCACTGGGCCTGTTCTGTCTCTCGGTTGCAGGTCTGGCCTGTTCTGATGGTGGTCACAGTTCCATCTACCTTGCAGGCGTTGGGGGGAGGGGGCGGCTCTCCCTCTCAGCAGGCCGCTGCTCCTCTTCTGCCGGTGGGTTGCAGGCCCGCCTACCTTGCAGGAGAGATTGGAAGCTCTGCCACTCCGCGGCCCACTGGGCCTTTTCTGTCAGTGGTCACAGTTCCGCCTACCTGACAGGCGCAGGGGGTGGGGGGCGGCTCTGCCCCTCAGCAGGCCGCTGGGCCTGTTCTGTGGGTGGTCACAGTTCCCTCTACCTTGCCGGCGCAGGGGGAGGGGGCGGCTCTGCCTCTCAGCAGGCCGCTGCTCCTCTTCTGCCGGTGGGTCGCAGGCCCGCCTACCTTGCAGGAGTGATTGGAAGCTCTGTCCCGCCGTGGGCCACTGGGCCTTTTCTGTCGGTGGTCACAGTTCCACCTACCTGGCAGGCGCGGGGGGTGGGGGGCGGCTCTGCCCCTCAGCAGGCCGCTGGGCCTGCTCTGTGCGTGGTCACAGTTCCCTCTACGTTGCCGGCGCAGGGGCAGGGGGCGGCTCTGCCTCTCAGCAGGCCGCTGCTCCTCTTCTGCTGGTGGGTCGCAGGCCCGCCTACCTTGCAGGAGTGATTGGAAGCTCTGTCCCGCCGCGGGCCACTGGGCCTTTTCTGTCCGTGGTCACAGTTCCACCTACCTGGCAGGCGCGGGGGGTGGGGGGCGGCTCTGCCCCTCAGCAGGCCGCTGGGCCTGCTCTGTGCGTGGTCACAGTTCCCTCTACCTTGTCGGTGCAGAGGGAGGGGGCGGCTCTGCCTCTCAGCAGGCCGCTGCTCCTCTTCTGCTGGTGGGTCGCAGGCCCGCCTACCTTGCAGGAGTGATTGGAAGCTCTGTCCCGCCGCGGGCCACTGGGCCTTTTCTGTCCGTGGTCACAGTTCCACCTACCTGGCAGGCGCGGGGGGTGGGGGGCGGCTCTGCCCCTCAGCAGGCCGCTGGGCCTGCTCTGTGCGTGGTCACAGTTCCCTCTACCTTGCCGGTGCAGAGGGAGGGGGCGGCTCTGCCTCTCAGCAGGCCGCTGCTCCTCTTCTGCCGGTGAGTCGCAGGCCCGCCTACCTTGCAGGAGTGATTGGAAGCTCTGTCCCGCCGCGGGCCACTGGGCCTTTTCTGTCCGTGGTCACAGTTCCACCTACCTGGCAGGCGCGGGGGGTGGGGGGCGGCTCTGCCCCTCAGCAGGCCGCTGGTCCTGCTCTGTGCGTGGTCACAGTTCCCTCTACCTTGCCGGTGCAGGGGGAGGGGGCGGCTCTGCCTCTCAGCAGGCCGCTGCTCCTATTCTGCCAGTGGGTCGCAGGCCCGCCTACCTTGCAGGAGTGATTGGAAGCTCTGTCCCACCGCGGGCCACTGGGCCTTTTCTGTCGGTGGTCACCTGGCAGGCGCGGGGGGTGGGGGGTGGCTCTGCCCCTCAGCAGGCCGCTGGGCCTGCTCTGTGCGTGGTCACAGTTCCCTCTACCTTGCCGGTGCAGGGGGAGGGGGTGGCTCTGCCTCTCAGCAGGCCGCTGCTCCTCTTCTGCCGGTGGGTCGCAGGCCCGCCTACCTTGCAGGAGTGATTGGAAGCTCTGTCCCGCCGCGGGCCACTGGGCCGAAAGTTGTCATTTTTATGATAGAGTTCTTGCATGAAAATAGTAATTTCTTTTATTTAATTAGGTCTTTTATATTCTTTTTTAATGTTTTCCAATTTTCTCCATAAAGTTCTCATACATTCTTCCATGGATTTAATGCTAGTTTTAAAAAAAATTCTTCCTATATTCATATAGGTCTTTAAAAGTTACATTTGATTTTTTTATTGCTAGTATATATAGATTCTTGTTTCAATTTTTATTATTTTAGTAGATGCTATGTAGATGGTATTCTCTGTAGACAGTCATACTGATTGGTGCCCACTATCATTAACCTTACCCTAAGTGAATACTGTGCTTTAAGATAGCTCATAATATTACTACATAAATTAAAATATGCACTAGGAGTACATGCTCAATATATTTTTGCTGATAGGTTTGCACAATCAAATGTATGGAGACTCTTATTTACTGAATTTCTGTTTGAGGTTAGGCTTATCAACCTATAAGGAAAAAGGGCCAAGATGGGAAACGTTTCAAAGGAAAATATAGAATTGCACTAAACATTAGGAGACTCTTGCTATGAATGCTTTAGTGGCTAAATGACACATGTAATGGTAATAAAAGCACAGAAATCTTCAACAAGAATACCCAACAGAAATATATATTAAACAGAAAAGAATGCAAATTAATTCTGTATTGCCTAATTCATTAGAACATTATCAAAAGATACATAAGTTACATCTGGCAAACTACAAAAAGAACCATTTTTTGCTATCTTCCCCAAATATAAAAGCATAAGAATTATATGATCTATTTGTATAATTTATTTATATATGTATTATACTGTAATCAGTTTTCTAGTGTCATATCACACAAAAATAAATGCCTTTGTAAAATCTTGCCTTAAAAATAATGCATCAGTTTCTCCATCCTGAGATGATCAATAGCAAAAAATGATTTATCTTATATATGTATATTTATTTCGAATGACTTGTTTACATTAAATATGTATATATGTAATTTTATATATGTATAATCAAACATCTTATATTTTTTAATGAATATTTCATAACATGATCTTAAATTTAACATTGGTAGGAAGTGAGAAAGGATTGTATAGAGTAAAGATTGATATATATATATATGAGTGCTTTGCAAAATATCTTATTGACTTGAAATAAAAAAATTCTTCCAGCTTATTAACAGAAAAGAAAAGGACTAAATTGGGCTGCAAAAGATGGCTGTAGAAATTCTATTCAAGATATTCAGAAGTAAAGACAAGTGAGCTATACAAGAGACTGAAAGACAACCCAAGAACTAATTCTAATGCCTTGAAATAAAAATCCCATTATGTACTTACCAAAGTGAAGTCCCAGTGGGGGCCAGGTGTTAAAAATGTGAAGGAGCTACCTCTCCGAAGGGAATATCTATGAAGAGAAAATTCAAACAATAAATAAACAGACTACATAGTTTTAAAACCATTTAAAATTGCTTGATTAGTCATTCAATCTTGGAAATAAGAGGGACAGAGTATAAAACAAAAAAGGGCACAGATCCTGGTCATGTTCAAAATCTTTAGAGTAAAATACCTTATATAAAATTAGTGAACAAGCTGGGCGCAGTAGTGCACACCTATAATCCCAGCAACTCGGGAGGCCGAGGCAGGAGGATCGTGAAAAGCCTCAGCAGATAAGCAAGTCACTGTAAGACCTTGTCTCTAAATGAAATATAAAAAAGGGTGAGGTTGTTGCTCAGAAGTTAAGCACTCCTGGGTTCAATCCCCCCCAAAAAAGTGAATAAAAAAATAGTTCACCAAACCAAGCAGAGTTTATTTTAGAAACACAGAGATCAATAATATAGAATTTATTAATATAATATATTGCATTAATAGGTTAAATAAAAACCGGCAAGTTGAACTTTCTTAGATTAAAAAATATGAAATTCATTCATGCCTAATATTTAAACAAATAAAAACAGAAGAATATTCTTAACAAGTAAAACCTAGCTGGGTATGATGGTGCACACCTATAATCCTAGCAACTCAGGAGTCTTGAGTCATGAGAATTGCAAATTCCAAGCCAGTACAGACAACTTGGACAGACCCTGTCTCAAAATTAAAAAAAAAAGGGGGGGGGGTAGCTCACTGGTAGAGCAACACTGGGTTCTATCCCAGTACCACCTGCCCCTCACCCCCAATTTAAATCCATGTTATTTACATTGGTATTGAAAATCCCTGCTGATTTAAAAAATTACAATTTTAAACTATATATAAAGCTCTGAATAATACATTTGAGATAAAGGCCTCAAGTAAGATTAAACTTTGGTTAGAATTTTGTTCCTTAAGGATTTTGTTTTCCATTCACTCTAAAGAAATAAATCAAGATATTCCTATGTCAAAAGCTGTCTTTACCTTTCTAAAATACAAACCTCTCTCTCTATAAAAATATAAACTTCTTTGTTTATAAAATATGTAGAAAAGCAAACATAGCTAGCATAGGAGATAAAGGCAGTTTATAAACCATATTTATTGTTAAATTAATTCAAATGTAAAGAAAAATAAAGCAGAGATATGTCCCCATCCCACCACCATGTTGAAATAACTGAAGAGCAACCATATGAGAAAAGTAAAGAGTATTATGAGTTTACTATGGCAATGGAGTCAGCTATCATCATTTGCATTTTAACAGAGGAGCATGAAGCCTTACAATGAAAAAACAGGGGAGGTTCAAAAATGAACTGAATGAAGACTGTCATTGAAGGGAAGTTGTAGGCGAGCTAACTAAAAGAATGTGTGTGTGTGTGTGTGTATTGTGATTGGATAAGGTGCCTATCTCGCTTACTTTGATTGGTCCTAAGTAGGAAATGGGACCAAAGTTAGGAACGTGACAGTTATTAATGAAGTCCTGGCTATTTTAGGCTAAGTATTATAGAAGTTATTATTTAGCTTCTTGGATTGTAGGCCATAGTCCATTTGTGAATCTGGTCTTTTCCTTTGACTTTCATGATCTTTGTTCATAATAAATTTAAAAATACCACAGATGGCTGTCATTCCTGCAGAAATTTACAAGTTTAAATTTGCAAGTTTAAATCAATTCAAGGGTTTCTGTAGTTTTCTAAGTTCAATAAAGTGTGTACTTTATGATAAGTCAGTATCTTTATAGTTTTGTAGTTTAATTGGAAGAGTTGTGATGTTTTCATAAAGATATATATATGTGTGGGCTGGGGATGTGGCTCAAGCGGTAGCGCGCTCGCCTGGCATGCATGCGGCCTGGGTTCGATCCTCAGCACGACATACAAAGATGTTGTGTCAGCCGAAAACTAAAAAGTAAACATTAAAAAAAATTCTCTCTCTCACTCTCTCTTTAAAAAAAAAAAAAAAAAGATATATATATGTGTGTGTGTGTGTTAATATATATATATATTTACATATACAGTGCTTGTTACATAGTAGACAATAAATGATAACTAGCTATTGCTTTTTTAACTGTTTGTTTTAAACTTCATTCCATCATTCCATTCTACATTTTACAATGAAACATCTTGAAAATAATTCTGTTTTTAAGAATGTGTTTTTTCTTCCTGTTGGCAATCATGTTGTTTGATACATTGTTTAATACCTTTCTTCTATTTATAATTCTGCTTCAACTCATATCTGCCATGGTAGAAGAAGGCAATGACACATCAAAATCTCTGAAGATATAATTTGGCTTAAGAAGAATTAATAGAATGATTCTCTTTTCAAACAGCAGCCTTACCATTTCTAATTATGCTTCATTTGTATTAAAACTAGTTAATGCAAAAATAATTTACATTGTTCAGAAACCCATCAAATAATATTAAAGAAAGCATGTTGGAGTCAAGGGAAATCACAGTGGCATTAAATAAAAAAATGTAATAAACCACAATAGTTCCTTAATGTATTATTTTATGACTTCAATATGTAATGAACCACGCTAGTTCCTTAATGTATTATTATTATTATCATTATTTATTTATTTTTTAGTTTTCGGTGGATACATCTTTGTTTGTATGTGGTGCTGAGGATCAAACCCGGGCCACACGCATGCCAAGTGAGCGCGCTACCGCTTGAGCCACATCCCCAGCCCTTAATGTATTATTTTTTTACTTCAATTTTATTATTGGGTATATTTAAAAATATATTCAATATATGGACAAAAATATTTGTATATATGGATAGAAATTTTCGAAAAGATGAAGGACTATCACTTCTAGCTTACATTTCAATCTTTTAAACCCTCTCCCCCACTTTTTAAGTGGAATGTCCTGTGGGGCCTATAAAAAGGCCACTTGTAATCTTAAAGTCTTATGAAATTGAAAAAATTTTCCCATAAGAATTTAAAATAGATACTAGATTTTGAGTCTGCCTTCTATAAAAAAAATGTGTGTCTTTCCAAGATTTTTGGAAGTCTGGCACTGTCACACATGCTTTCTGGACATAATTTGTTTTTTAGGTTTCTTTTTTCCATAGGAATTCAAAATAAATAGACGCTTATTATTAAAATGGGGGAAAATAGCATTACTGTAAAGCTGATTACAGATAATACTGGAAAGAATCTACCATTGACTTGGAAATGTTTTTCCGTTCGTTAATGTCTTAAGAATTCTTAAGAGCTATTTTTCTTTCCAACTTTTAGACATCAAACTCTTTCCGAGCCGGACATGGTGGTGTATACCTGTAATCCCAGCAGCTCAGGAGGCTGAGGCAGAAGGACAACAAGTTCAAAGCCAGCCTCAGCAATTTAGTAACCTGTCTCAAAATAAAATATAAACAGAGGTGGACATGTGGGTCAGTAGTTAAACGCCCCTCTGGTTAAATCCCCTATGCCAAACCCCACCCCCCCAAAACAAAACAAAACCAAAATACCTTTCTGAGGTCAGTATAGTTATTTCTGTGTGATAAAAAGTATTAATAGCTTTGATTTGTAATTTTTCTTAATACTTGTCCTATACCCAAAAGGAAACGCTTATTAAATATTTTAAGTGCCACTGTGAATGCTACTTTGTAACATATATTTGTATTAGATTAAAAATAATCTTTTGAGATCATTAATTGCTGCTTCTCAACCCACTCCTCACAGATGGCTCTCTATGTAGTTATATAATAGCACTTTTCTAGAGCAGCGTTTTTAAAAGTCTAATCTGTGCACTTATATAGGAAAGAGAGCCTGTCATCCACATAATCTTTTATCATTTATCATATTATATCTTCATATTATTAAGTGACATGAATTATAATTTATTTCAGAAGACGTTTTTATTAAAATGCCTTGTTCCAGCTTTTAATCAAAAAAACTTTGTTGTTCCTTGACTATGCCCCAAATATAAACACATTTCACCACCTCTCATGCTCACATGTTGTATCAACTGCAATAACCTCCTAATTGGTCTTTTGTAATTCCATCTTTGCTACATAATAGAGTGAGTCTTTAAAAATATATATCACATTGTTTCCGCTTATTTCCCAATTGGCTAAATCAAATTTAGCAATGGTCCACCAGTTACTCCATGATCTAGCCCCAGTCATCTTTCTGACCTCATCTATCATTCCTCACTTTGTTTCACTCAACTCTAGTCACCCTGTGTTATAGTTTGGATGTCAGATGTCCCCCAAAAGCTTAGGTGTGAGACAATGCAAGGTTTAGAGGAGAAATAATTGGGCTGAGAGCCTTAATCCAATCTGTAAATTAATCCAATGATGAATTAACTGGGTGGAGACTGAAGAGGGGTAGGGTGTAGCTGGAGAGGATGGTTCCCTAAGAGCATGCTTTTGAGGTATATATTGTGTTTGGCCAGAGGAGTCTATCTCTGCTTTCTGATCATTATATGAACTACTTTCCTCCACCACACTTCTGCCAAGATATTCAGCCTACCTCAAGCCCTGAGGAATGGAACAGGCTGTCTATGGACTGAGACCTCTGAAACCGTGAGCCCTCAAAGAAACTTTTCTTTCTCTACAATTGTTCTAGTCCAGTCTTTTAGTTGCAGCAGCGAAAAAGCCAACTAAAACACCTTGTTTTCTTTGAAGTTACTTGAACACACCCAATAGAATTCTACTTCAAAATCTCTGCGCTTGCTGTTCTTCTGTCTAGAATACTCTTCCCCCAAATACTGCATGGCCTAGGTCTTTCCTTCAGTCTTTGCTCCAATTTTGTTATTATCATCAGAGACTTTCCTTGTGATCTTTTAGAAATAACAAACTACCCTCTTCCTAACTCTAGTCTTCCTACCATGCCTGATTCACTTTATGTGACCACCTGATATTTTATATATTTGATTACTATTTTGTCCCCCAACCAACTTGCACAAAAGAAAGGATTTCATCTGTTTTTTTTTTTTTCCCCCAGTAGAATTCCCATTATCTACAACAATGTCCAATACCAGGTAGGTATTCAGTAGTAATACTGAATGAATGAATTTAATACTGCCTCCAGTAGATATATATTTTTTAAATTTTACTTTCCCTGAACTAGTTTTTCCTGGTTCTTCTATTTCTTAGTCTCAAGAGATGGTAGCTTCTTTTTCTCTGCTCTTTCACTACTTCTTAATGATAGGCTATAATTGGTATAGAGAAGGTTTCAGAAAGATATATTCAGATAAAGTTCATCCTAAACTTCAAGTAAAAACCAGCTTGAGGCAGGAGGATCATAAGTTCAAAGCCAGCCTAAGAACTTAAGAGACCCTGTCTTAAAAAATAAAAAGGATGGGGGATGTAGCTTGGTGGTTAAGTACTCCCCAGGGGTTCAACATCTGAAACCAATAAACAAACAAACAAATAAATAAATATCAGCTTGAGTGAAGAACTCTAGCTTTTTGCAGAGTAACTTACAATGGGCTTATCAACATCTTGTTGCTGAAACTAGGTTTTTTTTTTTTTTTTTTTTCCCTCCCTATTTCTCAAAAAGGGATTGACATATCCAAGGGATTGACATATCCTGACGGGAATGTAAGTTATATAAAGGACTGTAGTTTATCTAAAATAATGTTCAGTGAACAACAGGGACTTCTGAAAAGATGGAGTAGACAGGAATTACTATTTTTACAGATAAAAACCAGACAGATGACAGTCAACAGGACAAGTAAGTTAACATTTATTTGACAGCTTTTTGTGTACAGGCACATTCTAAGCACTTTACATTCACTAAATTTCACAAGGCCCTTGGGTACTAATATAATGCACTGTGCAGAGACATTAAGAGATAGTAAGCAACTCAAACAAGGTCATTCATTTTGTAATTGGAACCAACCGCATTGCAATGGAAAGCAACGTCTTCATTATTTTTTACATGACTCCTCTTCCAGATACAGCTTTCTGAAACCCCAGTCTAGGGTCTACCCTTTCCAGACTCCGACGTGCAAAGAAGGATTCTGGCTTCCGAAAAACATTTTATTGAAAAACTCGCTTTTAGGTTCAAACTCCGTGAGAGTTTTGGTCGGAGCATCTGCAGCCCATGACCAATCGGCTGTGGAGCACAGAACCAGTGTGGCTATTCCTCTGCCTCTGGGAAGGGCCAGGAGGAGAGTGTCAACAAGCCCGCCCCTCCTCGCAGGGCTGGGCAGCCGCAGTCGGGGCCTCACGGACGTCAGCTCCAGGCCGAGCCCTCAGTCGCTCGGGCTGCCCACCGCACTCGGCCCCCGGGAACCCGTGCCCTGCCCGTCCTTACCCCGGTCCCCGCGCTCTCCATCCCCGGCCTAGGCCCACATCCTCCCCGGGACCCCGCACTCACCTCCCGTCCAGCTCTGGCCGGGGGGTGTCGGCCGAAGGACCCGCGGCGCCATCCCCGTTGAGTACGGAGGCCCGGCGGCTTCGCCTTCGCGGCCGAGGCTGCTTCTGAGCCGCCGGCTCTAGCTCCATGTCGTGGAAGAGGGGGTGGGGCGGTGGCCGGGTGCCCGGGAGACCGACAGGCACGGGCACAGTGCCCGCCGCTTCTATGAGGCAGCAAGTGCCTGTTAGAAAGCCGCCACCACCACCATCATCCGGGGATTTGAAAATGGCGGCTGCGCAGCGATCACCCAATCAGGAGCAGGCGGTGGTTGCTAGGGGACGTGGAGTCCCGCCCCCTTCTCTGCCAGACCTGAAGGCGCCCAGGGAAAGGGAGAGAAGAAAGACTGGAGGGGAGTTGGGAAAGTTTGGTTTTCATTCCGACTGTATTTCTCAATCCCCTAGTACTTCTTTCACTGTTTATTAGGACTTTTACTGCAGTCCAAGGCAAATGGACTGGAAGCATTTCAGGTCACTAGATCTTCATTAGCGTTTAGGGAGGATAGAGGTTATAAGTAATGACCTATACTGAAGCTTGGTTATTGACTATACTAAATTATTCTTGTGAGATATATCCCCAATTGCCAAAGATCATGGAACTGTCTTTGGAAACCCGGGCTGTTTCTAAGAAACCAGTGAAATCTAGTTATGAGCCCTATGCTAGGAGACTGTGACTTCTCTGCGTCTAAGAAGGCAGCTAAAGGAACTAGTAAATAAAATAAAGGACCTTCTCAAGAAGACAATTGTGAAACAAATGAACATGTTCTTTGATTTTAAATATTGTACTGCATGTGTTAAAGTCTTTAAAAATTTTCTCTTATTTGGCATTATAAATCCATTTCTTGGAATTTATCCTAAGAAATAAAATTATCTGTACATGAAGATATATTAATGGCATTGTTGTTATAATAGAAAAATTAAAGACAACTAAACCAAACAATGATAGGAAAATTGCCAATTCTGGCTCATCTACTGGAAATAATATTTTCAGCCAATAAAAAAAATTGGGACGTGTAATAGAATAATACATTGTAATTTTCAGTAAAAAACATGGAACATAAAGGTGTATTCAGTATATTCAGAGTCATGAATTGCAAAATATTACATAGTGTATGAAGATGTCTGTAGGTATCAGACTTTTGGGCATTTAAAACATTTTAAATTTTACTTTCTTATGTTGAATACTTTTTTGAAAAGAGTGAGATACTGAACTTGTATTACCTTTACAACCCAAGGGTAAAATGCTTTAGTTTGAAAAGGATAAGAAGTTAGGGAGTAGGATATCCTTCACTAATAAACACCTTTACCCCACCTACTCTTCCCTCAAAATTAAAGAAGGAAGTACTGTTTTAGTACAGTTACAACATAATAATACAGACTGTAATCCCAGATAGAGCTTTATAGGATGCAGATATTTGGACGAAACCACATATTTACCCACAGGAACAGGTGAGATCCTTGGAAGTCAGAGTTTGTCTTCAGTTCTGCAGGTCCTAAAACTGGTTTTGGTGGTGTATTGAGAGGTGGCCCATCCTTTTGGAACCTGTAACAATCACTGTGCTAGTTGTTAAATATTTCTAAATCTATGATCATTAATCGACACTTAAAGATGATCATTAATCGACACTTAAAGATTTCTTTAAGTGTCGATTAATGATCATAGATTTAGAAATATTCTCTTGGAGGATTTCCAAAATTTTTAGCCATATGCATGTGATTGAAATTGTTAGGCAGATTAATTTTAAATAGATTCAACAACTAGCACACTAATATAAATTAATATGTAATAAATAATGATAAAATCTATTCCTTAGATAAATTAAACACTAGTTTTACAATACTGCTGATCAAGTGATATATATTTTATAGTGCAAAGCATTTATCAAATCCAATCCAATAATTTTCTAATTATTTGTTGATTTTGGTGTAATGTTTTGTTTGCCACTATTATTACTAGCTAAATGGAGCTTGAAATTACATACAGAAATGAAATAAATTTATGAACAAAGACTTTCCTATTAAGGAACTAGTAGTCTTAATAATCAGGAAATTTCTCTTTAGGTCATCAATAATTTTTTCTTTTTGTTTTGAATACTCTTTTGATAAATTCATAGCAATTACACTCAAGAGAATGAATGTGTGTATATGCGCATGTGTATAAATACATATGATGTAATAATTTTAAAAATAAAAAATAAATTTAGTATCTTTATTATTGTTATAAAAATGTTTATTAGATTAATTTTTAGTTATGTCAAACTTAATTGCTTCTGCCAAATGGAAGACATTGTAGTCCAATAGTTAAATATGTGGTTCTCAGGAAGTAGTGATTCAAATCCTGGCTTACCTACTCAAGGTTTAAACAACTTCCCTGCCTATCAGTGTCCTTGTAAAATGTTTATGGGGGGCAAGGGTCATGATAATTATACTTATAGTACTGCAGTGAGTTAATATGCCTTTAGAAGAATCATCGGCATAGTCAGACCTATGCTGCCTTAGCTTCAATGCCATGAACAAAATTCAAGTTGTTACAAGTGAAGGGTGGGAATTGAGTGGGTATTAAAAATTCATCCATAAAATGGAGGTAGAATTCGATGCCTGTAGTGAAAGTTACAGCTCCTGTACAAAACCATGTGACAGTATCCTGAGATACTGCCAGCAGAGTTAGATGGCTATGGGTCTGGGAGGTCAGAATCTGGTGTTCGTCATTGGGCTGCCAGAGCCTGCCATGCTGGGGAGATACACAATGGTGGGAGTTCGTGTGCCTAGGCAGAGTACTTGGCTGATGTGCTCAGTGGTACCTCCTGGACTGCCTAAGATTGAGTGGGCATTCCTTACCACCTGGGATTCCTAGGAGAAGCTGTTGAGGGCCCTGGAGGCTGGACTTTTAGGATAACACTGAGCCAGATATTGAGCCAGGCACTCTTTAGTTTCTGGATTGTGGGGCAGGGGAGGCCCCAAGGGGTGGGGTGGGACTGGGACAGGTGGGGCGAACTTAGGGGACCCAGAAAAGTAGTTACAACTAGTACAAAAGTGATTTATTATTTTTTTCTAACAACCAGTAAGCTTATACTAGTTTGTGCCAGCTGTATATAACTTGGGCTTCATAGGGAAAATACTGGAAATGCCCATTACTTCCCTTTTCTTCTGCCATCCCAACAATCTGATTTACCACTCTGCATTTTAGATACTTCAGTTCTTTCATCAAATCTTCAGATTCATATTTGCAGAAACATCAGAATTAGAATGCTTTAAAGATACCGGACCTATTATTTTTCTTATGCTACCAATGGGAAGGTCACCTTTATGGTAATTATCTTCAAGGAAAAATTTCAGTTTTCTCTGAGAAACAGAAGTGTATGATGTATAGGCACAATAAGGCAGTATATTTGAAATCAGGTTTGTTATCTTTTAAAATCTATCACGTGTGGCTATTTCTTCTATCTATCTATCTATCTATCTATCTACCTACCTACCTACCTATCATGTAATTACTGTATTGGTCTGCTTTCAGATATTTCAATGAGGAAAACTAAAATTCCAGAGATGGGATATTAGCTGTTGGTTGAGAGAAGGTGAATAAAAGTTAACAATATAAATGTGTGACCAGAGAAGGCACTATTGATCAGAAGTACACTGAATTTTTTTTTATGATTATATGATCTTATTAAGAGATCACAGAAGATTTAAAAGGCTGAATTGTGTTCCTAGTGGGAAGGAAGGATGGAGGAGGAAAAGGAAAGGGTTTGGCTTGATGGGAGGGAATAATAGTAGACAGTGATTTTGGTGGCTTCCAGGGTTGCCAAAAGAGTATTTTCAAAGAGAACTTCAGAAACCTCAGAATATCGATCAAAATAATTTTGAAAACAAAAAAATTCCTTGCTGACAAGGTTTTCTTTCTTAGCCAGCGAACTGGCAAGTGGATTGACTGACCCATTCACTGAGTAATATTTCAGGAAGAAACTTTGAAAAGAAAGGGAATCCTAATTATAAACGCCACATTTTTATCACATGGAAATTTTTTCATTTTTTCAAGACCTAAGGACAGCTACCAAGTGTTGTTGAACCAGTAGTGCGTGCGTGTGTGTGTGTGTGTGTGTATGTATGTAGGTATATATATATGTGTGTGTGTGTGTGTGTGTGTGTGTATATATATATATATATATATATATATATAAATTTATTTCAAGGAATTGGTTTCCATGCTTATGGATGCTTAGGTCTATAGAGTCTGAGATCCCAAAGGCAGGCAGGCAGGCTGGAAAATTTTTGAGTTGGTGCTGAAACAGAAGTTGTAACACACAGCAGAAATTTCTTCTTTCTTAGGAAGACTTTGGGCTGGGGATATAGCTCAGTTGGTAGAGTGCTTGCCTCACATGCATAAGGCCCTGGGTTCAACCCCAAGCACCAAAAAAAAAAAAAAAAAAAGAAAGAAGACCTCAATGTTTTCTCTAAATGCCATTCAAATAATTGCAAGAGGCACACATATATTATTGAGTACAAAAAGAAAGTGTTTGAATACTATTCAAAAACTATACTTAAATAGTGATATTAATATTTTATCACAGAGATTTTAAAGCAAAAATTATTAGTACCAATGGTGATTCAAAATAATGTTTCAGTTCCACAGAAAATATTAATTTAAAATTTATATGCTCTTGATGACATAGTCTCAAAATACATCAAGCAAAATTTGACAGAAAAAGAAATGGTAGATGAATCCATAATCATAGCATAAATTTTGACATATCTTTTAAAATAATTGATACTGAAAATTTGAACTACACAATAAATCAGTTGGACTTAATAGATCTATTTATTGATCTTACCTGTCTAAAACACATTCTTTTCAGGCATTCATGAAACATTTTCAAAAATGGACCATATGGCAGAATATAAAGGAAGTTGTAACAAATATATAAAGAGAGAAATCACTTAAAATGTTTCTGAACTTAATGCAATTAATAAAACATCACATGATGGTGGACATGCATGAGTGGGAGGTAGACAGTTTTTGGTTTGCTCTATGTATTTAGGATCTTTTGACTCTTGTTGAAGAGAAGCTATTCAAAAAGCACTCAGGTAATAAGAAAAGTTGATTTGCTATCACAGCAAATTTGCTTATACTCTTTCTTTTCCCCATCAATGGTTAATGAATTCATAACCCAAGAGGAGAATTTTTAAAGATGCTTGTTATTTTCAGCATAGGTGTGTGATGAAAGCAGATTGTGATAAGCTGTCATTAACTCACCTGCAATTGGCACAAACTTTATCACAGGTCGTTTAAACCCATCACAGTCAATTTTAGACCAGAGAAGTGTAGAACTAAAAAGAGACGGTACTGCTTTAAGTGAAGAAAGTTTGCAGCCCTCAGGTGGAGTCATTTCCGGGTCCTGTGATTAAAGTGTAGATAGAAATGATTGCTCCTCAATCATTACCACTGGGCAGTAGGGGCAAGTGCAGATCAGCATGGTAAGTGGCTTGGTACCTGCACATTGTTGACAGTGCTGATTTGGTGCTGAGGCAAATTTTACTCATCTTTTCCTCCACCCAAATTTCTCAGTAAAGTCTTACTACAAGAGAAGAACTTTTAAAATAGACATTTGTTTCTTTCAGTACCCATTCGACGTTGGGAGCAGATTTGAATAGGTTGTAATCTGTTCATCTGTAGCTTTGCTTCTCTCAATGTGAAGGTAGGTTGGTTTGCAATCCTTCACTGCTGTATTAAAGCACTGAAGCAAGAAACTCTCCTTTAGTTTTTACGTTTGTTTTTGAACCACTATGCTTATTTTTCTGTAGAAATCAATTGCTTAATTTCCATTTATGCTTTGGAGTCTCTGGGGACTTCAGACCCAGGCTACTATTGCTAGGATCATAAATGCGTGGCAGGGTAAAGTGCACAGACACTTTCTTTGCTCTCCATTTCTTTGAGTATAATAATGAATATTGTGTTTACAATAATTCTGTTTTGAGACCATCTTTTAAAAAATTTTTGTCCTTTTTAGTTTTACATGACAGTAGAGTCTATTTTGATATATTTATACAAACATGGAGTACATCTTACTCTAATCAGGATCCCAGTCCCGTGGATGTGCACGATGTTGAGACTGACTATGGTGTATTCATATATGTACATAGGAAAGCTATGTCAGATGCATTTCCCTGTCTTTCCTATTTGGGAACCATCTTCTAAGGCCCACTTCATCTGTAATCTCTTCTATGGATGTAATTTTAAGTATCTTAGAATTTTTTTGTCCTTAATCAAAGCAATCTTTAAAACTGATTTCATCTCTAATTATCTGTTGTACTCTCTCTCCAGCATTTTACAATTTGTTAATTTTTTTCTCTCAAGAATTATGCCTTCCAACAAGAGGAATATGTCTAGTAATGGAATGTTCTGTATCTTAACTATAAATGCTATTATTCTGGGGTGATGTTTTACTATGGTTTTGCAAGATATTTCCTCAGAGGGCAAATGACTAAGAGGTACATGAAATCTTTTTGTGTCATTTTTTTTTAAACTGCATATGAATCAACAGTGATCTCAATCTTAAATGTTTAATTAAAAATTATGCTTTCCTAGTAATTCAAATAAGCTGGGTAGCAGCATTCATTGGTGTGCTGCGACCTGTCAGTGTTGAGATTTTGTGGACATTTTGCAGTCTTACAGTGTTTCATACTGTGACTAGTATTTTAGCAGGAGGGAGAGGATAAGAGAAGACTAAGGTGAACATGGTCTTCTACACCCCTGGACCCAGTTCTCTTATAAACCCAGCTTCCTCTAAAGCCAAGCAAGGGGCTTGTTGAACCAAGTGATTCCTGCTGAGTTACAAAAGGACAGTATTACTCTGTTTGAACCACATGAAGAGCAGTGATGAATTTTTTTTGTTAATGATTATTTTTACTGTGAATCCTGTGAGCCACGACCTCATTTGGGTGGAATACAGGACAGGATGATGGACAGCTGCGGAAGAGTTAGTGAGAGAAATGTACATGTAAACTTTACTGATTAAGAGACTCTAACGATGTGTAAACAATGAACACTCTCTTCCCCTTTCTCAATTTTAACTTAAATTTGGGGAAATAAAGCTTTGATCTGATTACAGTAGCTAATGTAGTCATAGCATTTATAGTCTGTCAGGTGGGGAGAGGAATGAAAACTCTTTGCAGATAAAGGCATTTGAAGAATGTTTGCAATGGAATGTGTTGTTTTGATTTTTATCTACCAAAATAGAAGTAGGAATACAAGTTCTAAGGAAGGTGTTTTCAAAGTTAAGTTCTCAGCCTTTATCGTGAGACTGACAGTTACACAGAGAAGAAACAAGAAGGAAGTTCTCCTAAACACGTAGCTTGGACTTCTCCTGAAGAAGGCTGCATTATGCCTCCTGAATCCAAGACCCAAAGTACAAGGTTTTGAGGCTGCTGAGCATGAACAGAGTCCAAGTCAGATTGCAGGGGTGTGGCTGGTCAGAACTTGCTCTCTCCTATGAGAAGAGGTCTGGGTTGACCATGGCCAGTTATTGATGGGGAGGTCCAAGGTCTTTTTATAGTGGAATCTGACTTTGAGACAGTGCAGTTATGGAGCAGCTCAGGGTTGCCCCTCGGCTGACCAGGTCAGCAGACAGCTTGAAGGGCCTGATGATTTGGAAGAGAGGCTCCTCCTTATCTCTCTGACAAGGACTTGTTCTAGGACCACTGGCAATCAAAATGTAGCAATATTAAAATCAGCAATTGCTGTGACTTTAGATTTCTGGGATTTAACCTTTTCTTTTCATCTCAAAAAAGTAAATAATTTTGCCTGCTTAAATTACTAAAAAAGTTGTTTGATTTAAAAAATGGGATGGAAGCTGGTGAGAAGAAAATAGTAGGTTTAGATAAGAAAAAAATTACTTACTATCCAGATGTAACTAGGATTAATATCTTGATGCATTCATTTTCTGTGCCTTTTTAAAAATGGATAGAGCATCATACCCCATAAATATAATAATGTGTCTCAGATGCTTTGTACTTGATTTTTTATCTTAAGCATTTTCCACATATTATTTTTTTTGGTAAATATTTAAGAATTATATGATATGCTCTTTGATTGAAGTAAAATTCTTTAAATAAATATCTGGCAATAGATGAACGCAAGTAGATTGAGTAGATGGTTGAGCAGATTGGTTCTTGGTTTTCACCATTATAAATTATAATATTATGAATGCCAAAATCTTTGTTTTTCAGGACCTCTCTTTTGTAATTCATTTGTTTATGCCACTTGCCTATTTGTCTAGCATATGTCTTAAGAGTTTAAAAAAATCAGGGTATATGCAATTAATTTATACATAGCCCTTTATACAATACATATTTATATATATCAATTTGTTATGGTATAGAAGTTTTACATTTTGGGATTGATAAAGCTATTATATTTTGTCCTTGGCAAAGTTTCTACTAATTTTAGCTTAGACTATTATTTCTTATATAGAGCAAATATGCACAATAAATATAAAATTTCAAGGTCTGAAAAGATAACCTCTTTTATTTGTCTGTGATGATTTATAATACCTGATTAGGTTGAAAATTGATTTTGGTTTTATTCCTTTACAATAACTAGCTAAATTTTTTTCTGGGTGAGTTGGTATGACACCAACACTCACATACTATGCATACACATACACATACCCATTTCCCCATGCATGCTCACATGTGTACATACACATACTCATAGATTATATGTATTCTTAACTGAGTTTTAACTCAATGTACAATAGGTGCTTAATTTATATTGTTGAAATAAACTTTCTAATAGCATTTAAGCCAATGGTTCAGTTGTCTCTGAAGTCTAGCTTATGAACTCTGGTCTTTGGTTTCCATAGGACACTTTTGATTATCATCAGAAGATATTTATCTGTGGGCTTTAGCTTGATTCATCTGTAGTTAGAAGTGCTGAGCAACGGTGCGGTGCTCATGGCCTGAGTGCTTGTCCAGTTCTAACTCACTGTGGCTTATTTCAGAGGGAGTGCCTTTCCATTCACATTGGTCAAGCTGGCGCCCAGATTGGGGATGCTTGTTGGGAACTCTATTGCCTGGAACATGGAATCCAGCCAGATGGCATCGTTCTTGACAGTCAACAGAATCAGTTGGAAAATTCTAAAATGAAGCACATGAATGCATCTTTTGATACCTTCTTTCATGAGACGAGGGCTGGGAAGCATGTGCCCAGAACACTGTTCATGGACTTGGAACCAACTGTTATAGGTAACATAAGGTTTATGTTCTAGTGTACTTCACCAGGTCCACAATCAAACAAATCAAATGGGCAGAGCATGAGATTGTACTAAGCCATCTGAACAGAATCATATAAACCTTTTCCAAATTTAGAGCCTCATTTGATAGCCATTTAGGGTGATGAACATGACAAACATACCCAAAGAGGAGACTAGGTCTTTTTATGTATGTGATGAAACTAATTAAAACCTTGTTAATTTGTCTGCTCATGTATTGTAATAGAACACTGAATTTTTCCTGGATTTGTGAGCCTGCTGCCTGCAGCTACTGGCAAAGAATTTAAAAGTTTGTCATTATTTTGCTTATCAAGAGTAGAATATTTGAAGATAATTTCAAAGCAGCAAGGAACCAAATAAATATTCAAATTATGGGGGGGGGAAATCAATACCAATTTATGATTAGTAATGATAGACTTTGTTGTATCTTGGGAAAACACTCTTGAGGGCTAGAGAAATGGGGCTAGAGAAATATTGGAGAGAGAAGAGTTTATACTGACATGGAAAACAACTAGAGAGCAGGGTAGATTTGGGTTTGAGATTGTGTGTCAGTTATCTGTTCCTGTATAATAAATACCCTCAAACTCGGTGGTTTAGGGTTATAATCACTATGTTGTTCATGAATCTGCAACTTGGTGGGGCTCAGAGAAGACAGCTCCTCTTTGTTCCACAGGGTACCAGCCAGGGAGGTTCAGATGGGAGCTTGGAAAAAGGGGATCTACTTTGAAAGAGGCTCACTTACATGGTTGGCAAGTTGGTGCTGGTTGTAGGCTGAGATGTAGGCCAAGCATGCAGGTAGGGCCTTGGTTACTCTTTGAGATGTAGGCTTTCTGTGGGCTGCTTTGGCTTCCTCACAGCATGGTGGCTGGGTTCTGAGTGCAAGCATCACATGAGAATAAGAGAGAAGACCACGGCACTTTTATCACGTAGCCCAGGAAGTCATACAGTGTCACTTTATCTATTCTGCATGGGTTGAGGTAGTTAACAAAAATCCACAAGGGTGGGGGGGGGAGCATATGAATGAACCCTACCTACATGCAAGATTGGTGAGATTCTAGAAGCACATGTACAATGGGAAATATTTTTGTAGAATATAATCTGCCTGTAATATAAAAATAGAGGCCATTCACACTAGATTGGAGTTGATTTCCTTGTAAGAACAGAGACAAAAAAAGTGACAAACTGATGGGGGCAGGTTGATTGATGTCACTGTAAATGAAAAAACAGAATGTTTTATTAAGAGGAGTGGGTTAGAAATGCTGAGGCCAAGAGACCCATATATAAATTCAGTATTACTCTGTAGATTCTGTGAAAGAGTAAAAAATAAGAAATTACTGATGGCTTTAAGAACAAATGAGTTGGTCATGGTGGTGCATGCCTGTAATCCCAGTGACTTGGGAGGCTGAGGCAGGAGGATCACAAATTCAAAGTCAGCCTCAGCAACTTAGTGAGGCTCTAAGCAACTTAGTGAGACCCTGTCTCAAAACCAAAAAATAAAAAGGGCTGGGAATGTGGTTCAGGGTTAAGCACCCTTGGGTTAAATTTCCCATACCAACCAACCAATAAACAAAACAAAACAAGACACCAAACACCACTACCAACAAAAAACCCCAAATAAAACAAAGAAACCCCATAATGCCCCATAACACCCCCCCAAAACAAAAAACAAAAAACAAAAAATCACCAGATGAGACTGGTATGGAGGCTAAGATAAATAATTATGTTACAGTGTGATTCAAGTTATAAATGCCTAAAGATAATATATAAATTTTTATGCAAGACCAAGGGGAGTTTGCAACTGTGAGCCTTAGCTGGAATCTAGTGTTCCAGGAACCTAGGCAAAGTGGATTATGTGTTTTTCAGTGGACTTTGGTCAGTGTAGTTGAAGGAGCAATGTGGATTTGAAGAGGCTAAATCCAGTTATCATGGACATCACAGCAGGTATTTTAGCTTTTGTTAATCAAAAATGCCAGGCAAATAGAAGGATTAAGGCCCAGGATCAGAAGCTGAGAAAGTCAAAAGACAGGAAGGTAGCAGCAACAATTGGAAGAAATTCCCTAGTCCTCTAGGACATAGCTCACAGGGAGGATGATTTTCAGGGTCCTGAGCCAGTTCAGACAGAGATAGAAGAAAAGTGCTGCAGGATTTAGGGGAAAAGCATTGGTTTTCCTTGTTTTATTCAACAAATAAGAGTGCCTCAGACATTCTAGGCAGTGTTCCTGACATTGGATATGTGTGTGTGTGTGTGTGTGTGTGTGTGTGTGCATGTATCTCAGTCTCTATGGAGACAACATTCAAGTGAGGTACAGACCAAGAAAAACACCCAGTAAACAGTTTTTCCGATGATGATGATAAGTGGTCTGGAGAAAAATAAAGCAAGGAGACGAGGAGGGGCATATTATATGTGTGTGCACAAGGAAAGCCTTAAAGAGAAGGAAATGAGGACATAAAGCCTATCTTTTTGGAAGAGATTAGAAAAGACTTCATGGACAAAGTGATCTTGCACTTGAGTTCTGAAGAATGGGCAGGGGAATTTCAATAATTCATGGGTGAGAGTAAAAGAAATCATGACCACAGACACATTCAGATGCTTGGGAATATTGTTTTGGCTTGAACCTGAGGAGGGTGTTAATGTACAGGAGTTATAGGAGGCTTAAACTGGAATATTTCTTTTATGGCAGAGAAGTATCATAATCTATTGGTGAAAAAATGTTACAATTGGAATCTTAGAAGGCAAACCATGGAATCTCCATGAATAAGATGTTTGATTTGTATTTGATATGAAATAGAGGCCAGTGAATAGTTTAGATTTGGGAGAAAGGCAGATTTAGAACCATAATTTAAAGATTAATCACAAGATTTATTCATTAATGTACTTGGCACCTGCTATGTGCAACATAATGACACAAATAGCATGGATTGAAGAAAATTATAAGATTGTTGCAAGGGTAGGAAGTTATTCTAACTTTTTAGAGTTGAGTTGTCCCTCAAAATTTCATGTGTGAGACAATGCAAGAAGGTTTAGAAGCCAAATGATTGGGTTATGAGAGCCTTAGCCTATTCAGTGCATTAATGCACTTGAATGGATTAACTGGGTAGTGGCTGTAGGCAGATAGAGTGTGGCTCTAGGGGCCATGCCTTTGGGGTTTATGTTTTGTCCCTGGTGAGTGAGAGCTCTCTCTGCTTCCTGGTGCCATGAAGCTGCTTTCTTCCACCACACCCTTATGCCCTGATGTCTGCCTCACCCCTGACTCAGAGCAATGAAGTTGGCCATCCATGTCCTAAGACCTATGAAACCATGAGCCCCACATAAACTTTTCTTTCTTTAAAATTTCTCTTTTCATCTCTTTTGGTCACAATGGTGAAAAAGCTGACTGAAACAGAAATGTCTTTCAATGTCGGCCTCACTGAATTCCAGACCAACCTAGGACTTGATCCAAGAATATATTCTTTCTTTGTAGAATTTTCTATTGTTAGTAGATTGAAGACGCAGATAAACTCATGGAGGAAAATGAAAGATAGCTGAATATTTTTGGTTTTCACAAACTGTTTTGTGCATTCATCCTTCCTGCATTTGAGTCACAGGGTCATTTGAGTTTGTCGTGATTTTGTTGTTAAAATCTCTTATAAATAATACTGATTATAATTTAGATTGGTATACTTTTCATTCTATTTCAGCACATAGTTGGCGATTTTTAGAGAGGAATACTTGTCTCAAAATTCTAAAGCATTATGGAGTAATGAATGGGTTGAATAGTGTCCCCTCTAAACTAATATTTACCTGGAACCCCAGAATGTGACCATATTCGTAAATGGAGTCTTTGCAGATGTAGTTAGTTAAGATGAGGTTATGTTGGATTGGGTTAGGCCCTAAAGTCAAAGAATTGTGTCTTCCACAGGAAAAAAGAGAGGAAGAGGACATGTATGACAGAGGCAGCTACCACCCAAGGATTGTTAAAAGTCACTAGAAGTTGAGAGAGAGAGAGAGGGAGAGAGAAAGAAAGAGAGAGAGAGAGAGAGAGAGAGAGAGAGAGAGAGAGAGAGAGAGAGGGAGAGAGAAAGAGAGAGAGAGAGAGAGAGAACGGATTCTCCCTAGAGGCTCCCAAAGGAACCAACCACAACTTGATTTTAAACTTTTGGCTTCCTGAACTGTTAGAAAATAAATTTTTGTTGTTTTAAGACAAATTTGTTATGGCAGCCTTAAGAAAATAATACAGGGTATATGGTGGAAAATATACTTTCAACTTATATGTAAAAGATTCTACCTTTGTCTAGATTAAGAAACGCTAGTTCTGAAGTATGTTTGTTCTTTTACCACAACACTGGGGGAAAGGGTGGGGACAGTATGGAGCCCTGTGAGGATCAGCAAAGGGCTGACAGTTGAACTGCACTGACTACCTTTCCGCCTGCAGATGGGATCCGTACAGGAAAGTTACGTTCACTCTTCCACCCAGAGCAGCTTGTTAGCGGAAAGGAGGATGCTGCCAACAACTATGCACGAGGTCACTACTCTGTGGGCTCCGAGATCATCAGTCTTGTGCTGGAGAGGATCAGAAAGCTGGCAAGTGACCCCTCTCTCCTCTGATCAGGCCATACCTGGGCACTGGTGGTCTGTAGTAGGATGCACCAACATTATCTACAGGCACCACCATGGCCACCCGAGCCTTTCATCTGGGTGTCTTTGTGGGTGCTCAGACCTGGAAAAGGGTCCCAGTGTTGGTTTTGATTATACCTTGTTACATAAGAAGGGTGACAGAAGGCTTTTACTTACTAGGTGGTCCCATCTACCCTTGCTTCTAATGCAGGGTTTATCTTGCTATCAGAGACTTTTGAAGCACTCTGAAGCACATAATTTTCCAAGTCACCACTGCTTATGAAATTTATAGGACACAGATCCTACACCTGGAGATTGGTTACTGACAGCTCATTGTTCCATAAGGACCCAAGTCTGGAGTAGGTGGTTTGGCACAATCATTAGGTAACGTGATGTCTGCTACATCAGCAGTGTAGATGGAAGGTTTAGAAGAGATAGGTACTTCACCTACTATGGGGGCAACATTATTTCACTAGAATATTTTGCTCATCACTTTCTTTGTTACCGATAAAGGCCTTGCTTTTCATCATCTACCAATACATTCACTCATAGAGGCTAATGAAAGAGGGTAGAATATCTATGCTTTGCTTATATAGGTTGATTATCCCTTATCTGAAATGCTTGGGACTAGAAGTATTTTGGATATTTTTTTTTTCAGATTTTAGAGTGTTTTGCATATATATAATGAGACATTCCAGGGATGGGACCCAAGTCTAAACACAAAGTTTATTTATGTTTAATCTATTCCTTATATACATAGGCTAAAGGTAATTTTATACAATATTTTCAGTGTCCCTATGTTTTGGCTATAACCTGTCACCATGAGATCAGGTATGGAATTTTCCTCTTGTAGCTTCATGTTAACACTCAAAAAGTTTGGGATTTTGAACTTGGGATGCTCATCCTGTAGTAAAACTCAAAAGAGCTTCCCCTACTCCAGAAGTACCACTTAGGTATACTCCAAAGTAACTATGCTTGTTGTGGAGTTAAAACGTAAACCAGTCCTCTCTGAAACTTGTTGACTTTGTTTTGGGGAACTTGTTGTGCCTTCCGGTTGTGCATTGATTTGGCTGCATTCTCACATTGCATGCACTTTTCCTAGGCAGAACAGTGCAGTGGACTTCAGGGATTCTTGATTTTCCGAAGCCTTGGAGGAGGTACTGGATCGGGATTTACATCTCTCCTAATGGAGCAGCTCTCCGTAGAGTATGGCAAGAAGACTAAACTGGAATTCTCTGTCTACCCAGCCCCTAGAATCTCCACTGCTGTAGTGGAGCCTTACAACTCCATCCTCACCGCCCATTCTACCATGGAGCACTCAGACTGTACCTTCATGGTGGATAATGAGGCCATCTATGACATCTGCCATCATAAACTTGGTGTTGAACGCCCCTCCTATGCAAGTATCAATAGGCTGATAAGTCAGGTGGTATCTTCCATTACGGCTTCCCTTCGGTTTGAAGGACCCTTGAATATAGACCTTATTGAATTCCAGACCAACCTAGTACCCTATCCAAGAATACATTTCCCCATGACAACCTTTGCCCCCATCATCTCTGCTGACAAAGCCTACCACGAGCATCTGTCAGTGCCCAACATCACTGCTGCTTGCTTTGAGTTGTCCAACCAGATGGTCAAGTGTGATCCTCAGCTTGGGAAGTACATGGCCTGCTGCTTACTATACCGAGGAGATGTGATCCCTAAAGATGTGAATGCAGCAATTGCAGCCATGAAGTTGAGGACCTCTGTTCAATTTGTAGATTGGTGTCCAACTGGTTTCAAGGTGGGCATCAACCATCAGCCACCTGTGGTGATGCCCGGAGGGGACATGGCCCGGGTCCAGAGAGCTGTCTGCATGTTGAGCAACACCACAGCAATTGCAGAGGCCTGGGACCGGCTCGACCACAAGTTTGACCTCATGTATGCCAAGAAGGCTTTTCTACACTGGTACATCACAGAAGGCATGGAACAAGGGGAGTTCTCAGAAGCCAGGGAAGATCTGGCAGCTCTGGAAAAGGATTATGAGGAGGTGGGGCTGAGTTTCTGATGTAAACAGGACTGGTGGAAACAATGTGAAGTTAAAATGTCATGCTTTCTGTTCAAGCCATTATATACTTAGTGGCTAGAGTTTCCCATACTAGAAGAAAAATGAAATCAAGTGAAGCAAGAACCTAAATTCCACACTAAATTAAATGGGTCTTTATTGATAATGCACGTATATTTCCTTATCTATGGTATAATTCATCTCTGCTGACTAGGAGCCTTCTGGGGAGTCTTTTGAACTGGGTCATGTCTAGGTGGTTTTTTTTGTTTTTTTTTTTTTTTTAAATTTTAGCTTTTATGTTAGAATGGAAACCGGTCTTTCTTCTTGCTTCCTTTAACTAAGAGAGTATTAAACCCTAAAGTTTATGCTTTTCCTTTTCTGTGCCTAAAGCGGAAAAACACTCATATTGATTGTGAATGTTATTTCCCCTGTATCTCTATTTTGTCTGTTGATTAAATAACACATATTTTCAGTCTGTTTCTTTTCCTTCCTTCCAACATGGGCTTTAAGGTTTCCATTTGCTTTTCATTCAAACAAACCAGAATTCTCTTGGGTCTTTATAAAATTTGGTTTAGTTGAAATGCAAATTCTGAGCTTCACTGGAGAGGGTGCTGAAGGAGAACCCTGGGGCTGGGAGGGGTGTAATCCAGGGATCTGACATTATAAAAAACACTGTGAAATCAGTTCTTTGGGACTGAACAGTCTCATTTCAAACAACAAAAGTGTTCCATAGACTCAATAGCTATGAATGCACTGAAACTGCCAGGGAGATTTTTACAAACCATGATGTTTAGTCTGACTACTATTGGAAATGAAGGTGAATTAGATATTACAAAGGTGCGTCCTTGGGCTTAGGTACTGTTCTTGGAGTGATTGTGGCAGATCATCAGGAGCCTCATCTATCTGTTCTGTTTAGCTTGCAGTCTTAGCCCTCCAGTTGTTCACTCTTGACCTCAACCTGGTATATACTTTGGCCCAAGTAGGCATCTGAAGGTAGTAAGTGCTCAAGCCACAGCTACAGGAACACAGTTGTTTTGTGAGACTTCCCAAACCAGAAGGATGCCACCCTCTTTTTTGCTAATACCACTTGGACCCAGGAAATGACCCTCCATTATTTGTAAAAGGGACTTTAATTTTTAGAAGAGTTTTAGGTTCGCAACAAAATTGAGTGTAAAGTAAGGCCCTCCATTTGTAACAGTTGCCCGGGGGGATTCTATCTTGTTCCAAAATCATCATTCTAAGAAATGGCCCTCAAGAATGCCACTTTGACAATATACCATATTGTATATTTTTCAACTGAAATCTTTGTCCTCTCGGAGGCCAGTGACCACAGGTGCAAGTGATATCTAAATACCCTTGAATGCCTGCACAAGTGAGCCGGATTTTTGATCAGTTCTCAAATTTCTAAGCACTGGCTGGATCCCTCTGAGACTCTACTTCTAAGTCCTTCTTTCAAGGGCTTTTTTAGATCTGACATTAAGTCAATCTCATGACAGAGTTCCATTTGGAACATAGGCCCTGTTAATTCTGAGATGTGCCAGGATTTCAGGTATGTAGCAGAGAAAGGAGCATGACTCTCATTCTCGTGTCTCTAATTTGCAGTGATCAAATATTTTGGAAGAATACTAAATTTTTTTTTTCCTCTAAACCTAAGAAACAATTTGGTAATTTTTATCAACATTTAACACAGATCGATAGTGGACTGTCTGAAGTGTGGAAGAAAACCTTCTTCAATTGCAAGAACGTATTGTAGTGTCTGCATTACTGGGTTGGGGGGGATCCACTTTTCAATTTACCTATGTCTCTTATGTTTGCATTTAAAATATTATTTCTCTTAGTAGTAAATAAAGCTATTTGATGACTTAAATAAATACAATGGACTTTTCACATACTTGTGAGTTTTAAGATAATGTTTCTTAAAGAGTGGTCCTTAAGTCTCAAATACTTTTCTTTAGATCTTTGCATTAATTTTATTGCTTAATGAACAATAGGGAAGAAATATTTGGAAGGGTGGATACAAATCATGGCACTGTTGCAATTATGTGACCTTGAAATAGATGCTTAACTTCTCCATACATGAAAACCCTCATTGTGGACAAGGTGATTTCCAGAACCTTTCCAGTTCCAAGAGTCTGCGAGTCTAAGAATTGGTCAATTTATAATGTCGGTTGACTCTACATGCCTTACATAAGTATTACGTTCATGTATTTATCAACTTTCTATCTTTCATGGTTCTTCTTTATTAGCTCGTTAAATATTCTTTCTAAACATTCTTTTTGTGGATACCCAGAGATGACTACCTTCAAACTTAACATTAGCATCTGTCATGCAATAGCACTTCTTCTGCTCTCTGGAACTTCTTTTCTCTCCTCCTGTCCTTTGTGTATTGTTACCTCATATTTTAATACTACATATACTTTGAACCCCACAAGATATTATTACTATTGTTTAAACAGGGAGTGTGTTTGCTTAGATTTGTCCTCACAGTCAGGCTCTCTGATGCTCTTCATTCCTTTTTGCATGACTATACTTCCATCTGGGATAATTTTCCTTCTGACATTAAACAAAGACAAAACCACCAAGCCACCCAGAAACCAGAAAACAAAAACACCCTCCAATGTTCTTTTAATGTGGATCTGCTGTCAGAAAATCATTTTAGTCCTTATTTATCTCTAAACATCTCATGTTAACCATCTTGTAAGGATACTTTCTCTGGTAGGTATAGACTTCTAGGTTGACAGTTATTTTGTGTCAGTACTTTAAAATGTCATTTCATCATCTTCTGCTTCTATCATTTCCATTGAGAAGTCAGTTGTCAATCTTGTTGCCTCTTTGAAAGTCATGCCCTGCTTTGGTGTTTAATGGTGAGATGTGCTTAGGTGTGATTTTTGTTGTATTCATCCTACCTGAACTTTTTAGAACTTTTAGAATTTATGGCTTGATGTCTTCTATCAGCTTTGGAAAAATTTGACCAATAATTCTTTAAATTTTGTTTCTAACTGAGTTTTTCCTCCTATTTTCATGTGATTATACAGGTTAAATCTTTTTACATTGTCTCATGTAAATGTTTTATTTTCTGAGATCATTACTTATGTTTTCCACTCCTATCTTGCAGGAAACCTTGATCTTTCATCTCTTTTGTACACCCCTTCTCTTTTTGCCCATTGATTTATTTTTTTTCCTTATTTATCTAAGTTCCTCCATTCAGAAAGTCAACATAGGGGCTGGGGTGGTAACTCCGTGGTAGCATGCTCACCTAGCATGTGTGAGGCACAGGATTCGATCCTCAGCACCACATATAAATAAATAAAATGAAGGTATTGTGTCCACATACAACAACAACAACAACAAAAGTCAACATAGTCTTTTTTCTGGATTCTGCTGTCCCTTAATGTACTGTTTTATCTATCCACTCTGTCAAATTTCTAAAAGAATATATGTTTTCCATCCTTACTTCATCTTCTGCTTGTGGGCCATCCTTTGTAACTGGGTTTCTCCCCCACCCCAAGCCTTCCTACTGAAATGATCATCTTGAAGATCAATGATCAGACCATTTGTGTCAAAATAATGATCTTTTTGGCCTTAAGATTTCTTGACCTTAGATTTTGGTCATTTTGGTGAAGTCTTTCCTTTGACTCCTGTGACATTGCTTAGTGCGTTTTCTGCATTTAACATCTCCCCAGACTCTTCTTCTACGTTGTCTTCCCTTTGTGGAGAAATTTTTGGTCATATTCTGCCCTTATTTATCATACAGCCACTTATCACAACTGAGCAACTGTTATAGTTCAAGGTGTTCTTTTTCTCTTAAGTCATATCCTGAAAATTCTACCTACTCGCTGGGCCTGTTCTCCCCGATGCTTTACCCAGACTTAAAATTCCATTTCTTCCTGGAAAAACATTATTTTCATCAAAAGAGATCCTTGTTCCTTATGGTGTTCTTGATCTCATTTGTTTATGCCAACATTTTTTTCCCAAAGCAGGTTCTAAACAACACTGTCATTTTTGACTGACCCCCTCATTTCTACATAGAATTAAGTCCCACGGATTTGACTTCTGTAATGTTTTCAGGATCCATTCACTTCCCTTTTTATACAGGTCATCAAATCCTCTCGCCACAACTAGCACTAGTATCTAAATGCTTTTCTGCCTTTCCGTTTGTCTTCCTAACTCATCCCACACACTATTCCATGGCTGAAAATTCCAAAGCACAACTTGGATCATTTTGCTCCCATACCCAAAGCTTTAATGATTCTCTGTTGCTGAAGCCCATTTTTCCAGCACACATTATTCTCTCTCGCCTCTGCTCTTGCTCCTTTTCCCCCTATGACATGTGATGTAATTCCTACTTCAAGGTGCAGTTCAAATGTCACCTGCTCCATGAAGCCTCTTGGGACTCTTCTTTCTTGTGTCCTCTTAACAACCAGAGCTGTCTAGAGAATCCATGCATTCGTACCCAGAACTTCTGGATGGTTGAGATACACTCTGGATTCTCTCAGTATATTGAAAATATTGTAGTAAGTACTCACTGATGGTTTATTTCCACTTGTATACCCTATCTATCCAGTGATTCACAGTTTCATTAGTTTTTTTCCTATTTATTTATTTTGTATTACAATTCTTAATACACTATTATACAATAATTTGTCATATCTCTGATTATATATAAGGTATGTTGACACCAAATTTCATTAGGTTTTTTAAAACATGAAATTTTACTTCAAACTTTGTTTAACTTACATGTTGTTTCTGGATTTAGCCACCGGAGGGCACTAGTGAGACACTTAAGTAACTCTGCTCAGCAGGCACAGCGGGGGGCCCTTGGGTGGGGGGGCTGTGTGTGTGTGTTCTGTGTATGCGTGTGTACACGTGCATTCATATACCTCCAGAAAGAGACTGACAACTTTTGTTTTTCAAAATTACTAACTTACTCAGCTTAAGATGAAAAACCTAATTACTCCTTAAGCTTTTAAAGTCCACTCGTGAATCTTACTATTTATGTCTAGTAAACTTGTATAATAACTTTCAAAGGGAATATACACAAATGTTTGGACCCTTTTACAATCTTAGGTTAAGTACTCTTAACTATTTAAGATTGAATATAAATTTAATATATTCTCTTTTAAGGAGTTTGACAAACTTTCCCAAATATCCTAAGTAATCCTTTCTAAATCTAATAGTTTAAAATATAAATATGGTGAATGAGTACATTTAAGTATTCCAAAACTGTCTGTAAACTAGCCATATATTTTTAAGATCAAAGTGTAAATTTATTTATGAAATTTATTTATTTTAAAATTGAAATCACAAGACTGAATATGATTCTATTGTCAAAACCTCTTAAATATTAAAATACTGCACTTTAAATGCCAAATACGAAGAGCTTCCCTATCACAAGGACATCAATACATCTGTATCTAATTTACCAACTATTCAATGAGCACCTGCCACATGCTCATTGCTATTCTAGACACTCCAGATACAACAATGAACAAAGCAAAACCCATCCCTACCTTGTGGAATTGATGCTAGTGGAGGTGGGAATGGAAGAAATAAACATGAAGTGTATGAACACACCCAATTCCATTGGCTGTCCTTGATGGGTGTCCTCTCTTACACAGTTTCCAATATGTCATATTGGAAAGTTGCAGGACGTAGTGTGTGGTTCTCTATTTCTAAAACAGAATAAATCCCCACACAAAAAAACCTGGGGCCTTTGTGTGTTGCCACATTGGTCAATAATTTCTTTTGCAGAATTCAGTCATGTTTAACTGAAAAAGACCCTAAGTAACCCCCTTCAGACCTTTAGTGACACAGGGTGTATGTGTTCATTAGTAGAAAGCAATGCCGTTGATTTGGGGACACAGACATTGGGTAATTGGCTAGGCTTGATCAGTAAGTAGATAATTAAATTGTTCATGCACATCTGCTTTGAGGAGTAATTCAAAATTGTGACTTAGAAAAATGGCAGGTTATTATACACCAAGAGTTCGTGAAAGTCCCAATCACAATGTTAAATTCTGTGTACCAAGAGCTTATTCTATCACTTGCTGGGTTTCAGGACTTGCTATAGTAAAATGCTCCCTGGTCCCAGCAACTTGCCATTACACTGAAGTGTTAAGTTCTTGCTACTGGAGAGGCTGTTCCTGTTGGTGTATCTGTCCTTCCCTGACTGAGGAGAAGGGAGGGGATGACCAGAGGGTTTTTTTTTTTTTTTTAAATCCTTTTAGAACAATGAAGATTGCTCTCTCTCCCTGCCCCTCCCCAAAGTGTTACACAGTGAAGTCAGGGGTAGCAGATAAAAGTAGCGGTGGTCTTTGGATGTGGCCATCCCACCTTCCAGCATTGTTGATATTTTTTAAAAAATTATTTTTTATTTTAATTAGGTATATATGATATTTTTATGAACACATGCTGAGAGGTGTCACTTGCTCTCAATTAGAGCCCAGTGTGGTGGGCAGAACTGTGGAATGGGCGCTGTCCAACAGGAATTCTTGAGCTTTCCTGACTACTTGGTAGGTTTCAGTTTTGGCCCACTTTTCTTGTTCATCAACCATCTGCACACTAAGTCATCTGTAAGATGCTGAAAGCCAATCAAATACCAGCCTCACCTGCTGGGTTCATAGTCTTGAATCCCAGTGTCTGTGTGGTGCTCTTCCAGCTGGTTCTACTATCTAGTTCACTTGGGTCTGCTGATAGCACTGGGAGGTGGGGTGATTGTTATTCTCAATGCTTTTTGTACAAATTAAGGGTCAGTTTTTCATGGAGGAATGAGAAAGGGTTTGTGGCTGGGCAGATCTGACTGCCATTTAATAGCTGGGTTACCTTGGTTACATTTCCTAAATTCTCTGGGCTTCAATCTCTACCTTTAAAGTGGAAAAATATTATGGCTACATTGAAATAAACTTGAGAGAATTAAGTGAGATAACGCTCATAAAATACCTATCAGTGTTCTTGGCACACAGATATTCAGGGAAGTTATAGGACTTGTTCATAGACACTTAAAGTGTAGATGAACAGAGACTCAAAGGATAGGTGTTCTGAGTCTCAGAACATGATTCTTTCTGCTCTACTGTGTGTGTTTTTTTCCATGGTTGGACACAATAGTTATGTTGGTCCTGTTAAGAGATGGGGTATTTTAAATTTCAATTTTAACTTTTTTTAAAAAATGAAATTTAAAGATTTTAGCAATGCCTGACAGAAACATGATTATTGGGTTATAGGAAAGACAAATTTGTGGTTTTGATAAGTACTGCCAAATTGTGTCTCTATGGTTTTACCCCTACCAGCCAGCAGGAGAGGAGGTGGCCATTAATTTCACCAATGGGGAATATTGTCAAACTTAGGGACTTTTGCTAGCACTGCAGGTGAGAAATTGTCTTGCTATTTTTTTTGTGTGTGTGTTGCTGGGGATCAAACCTAGGACCTTGTGCATGCTGGGCAAGCACTCTACCACTGAGCTACACCCTCAACCCAAGAAATTGTTTATCAGTGTAGTTATTAAGAATGAAATTGAGCATCTTTTCATATATTTGAAAGTCATTATTATTTGTGTGTATGTATGTGTGCTTGTGTGACCTATTTGTGTCTTTTTTTTATTTTTCTTTTGGGTTTGTTCTTGTTTTTTAGTAATTATATATTTGTTCAAAAACCCATTTTTCTTTTACACGAGTGGCAAACATTTTTGCAAGTTTATTGTTTATTTCTCTTTTGACTTTGCCTCTGGTGGTGGTGGTGATATTAGTTGCTGATGTGTGCTGCCTGTTTATCATTTTATTTCTTAATGATTTGTCACTGTGCAGAAGTGAGAGGGACCATAGTCTCTCCTCTGGGAATCTGGCCCCTAGGCTTTGCTGCCGCCGGGTGGGGGTGGGTGGGTTAGCACACTTGCTAATAACCATTTTTATTGGAGTTTTGCTTGTATCAACTGTTCTCTTCTGAATTCCATATATATATATATATCTGTTCACATTAATTGTTACCAGTTTGCAATTCATTGTTTGCATATTCCCTGGTGATCTTTGTGGTATTTGGTTGATTTGTGGATGGCAAAGCTGTGGCTCAGACATCAGTATTGGCCCTAGTACCCAGCACAGCACTGGGTGGGTACTGTGGGTTCAATGAGAATTCTGTAAAGAAGCAGTGGCCTGCACCCTAGCAGGAGTTTGGGATGTTACAAACTCCCTCCCTCTTTCAGCCCCGGGGGTGTAATGGAAATCCCAGGCTGTGTCCCTTGAATAGGATCTGGCCAAGGAGATGGCTCTGGATAAAATGACAAAAGCTGATTGACTCTCAAACTTTCCTTTACTTCTTTTATGGCCTCTCAGAACCACAACCGCCTGTCCTGGGAGCAATGAAGGACTGACTCAGCAGGACCCTCCCTCGCTAGCCTTTTTTGTTCCAAGCTCAGTCTTTGGAGGAAGAGGAACTGAAAACAAGCCAGGAGTTCAAGAAGCCACTGGTTTTAATGGGGTGAGAAAGTAAGGAAGGTGGACAGTGCATCTCCTGGTCTCTGCTGTGGCAGGGTTGATGTGGGGGCGGGAGAGGAGCCTGGGATGCTCTCTCCTCAGGCCTGGGGTCAACAGGGAGGAGCTTGGAGAGGAGTGGGAGAGCTGTGCCTCTTGCCATGGGGAAGGAGAAAGGAGACAGAGTACAGGGGAGACTTTAACCTCCGACATCTGAGAAGGTTAGACAATACTGCACTTCTGTGCTTATGTACAGAGGAGAAGGGAGACTGGGTTGGCAGCAGGAAGGATCAGAGGGGCTCAGCAATGAAGCAGCCTGTGAAATACAAGCCTCCAGTGTCCCTGTCCCCCACCTCTGTGCCTGGTGTGCTGCCGTCCTGTCCAGCCTCTTCTGCTACTTTTTCCGCCCAATCTGCGCCATCAGGTGGGCATTGGCAGCTGCCTTGGCCCGCAAGTTTTTGGCCTTGGCGATGTCGAAGAGGATGTTCATGATGTTGGTGGGAACATCCAGGGACAGGGTGAACTTGGTGCGCCGGTCGCTCTTGGTCTTGTCCTGGTACAGCTTCCCCTTGTGCTGGGTTTGGGACAGGTATTTGTACCGGGTGTTTCCAGCTCCACCCCCACCCCCAGAGCCTGGGAAAGTCCTTTTGTCCTTGTCCTGCTTTTCCTCCTCCTCCTCCTTCTCTTCTCCTGAAGACGGGTCTTGACTGGGCAGGTAGTGGAAGCTCCTCTTGCTCAGCGGGGCCATGTCCTCCCACTGGCTCTGCTTGACCTCAGCTCGTGCTGTACTGAGGCAGTTGAAGACGGGCCTGGCTCTGTAGAACTTATAGGAGAGGCCGGCCCCCGGGTCCCCCAGGAGCAGCAGCAGGAGAAGCAGGAAGTGAGCTGGCACCAACATCTCTCCCTGCAGTAGAAAAGAGGGATGTGGGGAGGGGCGTGAGAAGAGCTGAGACCTCAGAAAGACAACGAGCAACATCCAGTGGTGTGTTGTCAGTGTTCTACTCAAAGATCCCCAATGCATGGTCCTTAGACTGGTAAGAGCAGCATTGCCTGGTCTCATTTGTTAGAAATGCAAACAATTGTCAGGTCTTTCCCCCAAACTAGCAAATCAAAACCTCTTGGGCATAGTGACCTGTTTTAACAACCCCTGCAGATGGTTCTGATGATCCCTAAAGTTTGAAAACCATCACTTTACTAGTATCTAGGTATTTTGTTTAACTCAGATTTGCGGATAGTCAGTGGCCCTGAAAGGGAATAAGAAATATGTTAATGAGCACTTAGTAGCCTAACTGGGTTGATTGGTATGGTGAATATGGTGAAGAGATTTTTTTTTTTTTTTTTGGTACTGGTGATTGAACCTAGGGGTGCCTAACCACTGAGCCACATCCCTGTCCCCCAACTTTTTAAAAATATTTTATTTAGAGACAGGGTTTCACTAAGTTGCTTAGGGACTTGCTAAGTTGCTGAGGCTGGCTTTGAACTCCTGCCTCAGCTTCCCACAGAGCTGGGGCTACAGGTGTGCATTACAGGTGTACACCTGGCAAGGACACTTTTAGTTCCCTCCTCATTGGCAAGGCTGATGGAGTACATTCTTACTGCTTCATGTCTAGGCTGAGCATCTAGTTACTGTTTCTGAGGCAGATCTTCAAGATGGGTCCCCTCCTACACTCTCCTAGTTTCTTCAGAACCATAAGCTTTGTGAACTTGGTTGGGTTTATTATAGTTTTCAGGAAGCAAAGTCAGTTTTGTATCTATGTGAGACCACGTGCCTCCCAAAGAGCTCCTAAGTTCTCCAATTCCAAGGCCTCCGTCTGAATAGATACCCCGTGTGCCTGGTTATTATTCCGACTGAGTGAGGGTGATGGTCCAGAGTCAATCGGAGCAGCTTCTGTCTGAGGATGTGTCCTTCTGGGTGAGGCCGCACACCTTCTTCAGGTGCTTATTCAAGGAACTTATTGTCCAGAGTGAGAAGGAGGTGCTCAGAGGCACGGGAAGATTGCTTACAGTGACCATTTGAATCTATTTACTTATTGATTTTAATAAGAAGCCCAGGGCTGGTGAATACCCCTCCAGATCAATACCCCTCCAGAGTTCACACTGTTTGGGCTTTAAATCACCATACATTGCTGTTGGCCCACCCCCACCACATCAGATAGAACTTCAGCTTTCCTTTTCACCCAGGAAGAGGCCCCGTGTTAAGCTATCCACGCTCCTCTTTCCAGTCTTGTTTACGATAACAGCACAGGGCTGTACCAGGTCATCAGAATTAGGCTTGTCTGTGGCCACTGGGAAAACTGTACGACGGGCAGAATTTGCCTCTGGTGCCCTGGGGCGGAACCTACCTGTACCTCAGGGCCCTTTGCCTGGTCTGTGGGCAAGTTTATTTCCAGCTTATTTACTTCATTGTCTTTCTTTATCATGCATGAGAACAAGTGGGGTCAAATGTCTGGATTTTATCTAAACCCTCCTCAAGCAAACACAGCTCTTCTCAGGCCTGGATGTACTGAAACCTAACATGCCTTGTTCCCTAGTCTCATGGTCAGAAAGAACCACCTCCTGGACTGTACTCTGAGATACACAGAGTGAAAGGTTCAACTTGACATTTGGGTATTTTCCTTGAACTTGGAATTTATTTAGTAGCTAACTATGGAACTCAGGGAAATTCTTGCCTTATGGGAGTTTTAAAAACTAACAAAAAACTGGAGAAGTAAATAAACAAGGGGATTCTCCTGAGTACTTGGCAGTGCCAGGCTGGCGTTGGACTGTTTTATTTTCTGCAGACGCAGGGTGGTGTAGTGCCAGGAGGACCTGGTGGTAAGAGGCCTAACTTCGAGACCCAGCTCTGCAGCTCTGTTGGTGTGATCTTGACCGGGCCATTTCCCAAAACATGTGTGGGAGGGGACCCAAGCCCCTTCACGTTTCTTAGGCTGTGAATGATGGTTGGGACTAGAACTGACTCTTAAAAAAGACCAGTGTCTAGTTCTCCAAAGGAGGATCTTTTAAATTTCTACTCTTTCATTTGCTACCAACACACACACACACACACAAACACACACACACAATAGTCAAAAAACAGCAACAAAAAACACTCCCCCAAACACATGTACATACACATGTATACATAAAAGCATATACACGTACATATCTCACACCTATACATGCTTAACACATGCATACACACGTATACACACATACACCCATATGCACACACGTACACACAAATGCACATATGTGCACTCCCTACTCACTTGGAGAGTGCTCTGCAGCACTTTCTGCTTTCTTAGGACTATTTCATTGTCCTTCCCATCTTCTTTCTCTGGACTACTTTTTATAATCTGTTTGTTCCTTTATTTTTATAAGAATTTTATAAGAATTTGAAGCTTTTTTTTAAAATCTAAGAACATTTTTCGTATTTTATGGCAAAATACATGAGCCTTACTTTAAATAATGCAAATGTGTGCACGAGGGAGGTTTGGGTATGTGACATCCTGCAGTGACACCCCTATATACTCTGGAATTAGACCTAGGCTTAAATGCCATCTTGTCTTTATTTGCCAGAAGGCCTTGGCCAGATTCCTTAGCTTCTGTGAATTTCAATTTCCTCACCTGGTAAATGGGGTAACAATAACTCCTTTATAAAGGGCAAGTGAAGGATTAAATTTAAAATGTCCATGTGTGAAGGCTCTTTGGTTGAAACAGGCACTCAATGTAGCCTAGTTCATGTCGGTTTAGATGGAAATAATCTCTGGGTCCCCTTAGGAGAAGTTATGGTATGCACAACTTTTTTCAGAGTGTATTTCACACCCCCCCCCCGCTCCCTGCCCCCCACAGCTGAGAGTCTGATGCTGCAGGTCAGTGTCCTTACTTTCTGTTCCTCTGGTTGCATACTGCTCTTTGCAGCTCATTTGCCCTTAACATAGTGCAGGTAAGCAAGTGGTTCTCAACTTCAGAGTGCCCTAGAATCTTGTGAAGGGATCATTCAAACACACACTGAGGGGCCTCATGCAGAGAGTTATTGGGTCAGCAGATCTGGGATGGGCCTGAGAACTTGTGATGTTGCTGCTGCTGCGGGTCTGTGGACCATGCTTCAAGTGCCCCTGTTCTTTGCATTCCAACTCCTCTCTGTCCTCCTTGTGACTGCAGGCCAGAGTTCCTGGAGGACATTTTGCAGTGCTGGATCCACAGTCTCTATGGAAAACAGACTTATTCTTTCCTTGAATATTGTGTTAAATAACCAGATTTTAGCTTTACCAAGTAGAAAGAATTCAGGTAGGTGTTCTGCATAAATCGGGTATGAACTATGATTAGTTGCTGTAGGCCTTGAAGGCATCTTAAAGCTTGGGAGCAATTTTGAATGGCTTGTGAATCCTGAAAGAGTTTTAAAACAGCCAGCTTAGAGAGGGTTAATACTGGTGAGAAGGTTGTGGAGAAAATGACCATCTCTCTGTTCCTCTAAACCTTTATTCCCTGTTTCTTTCTCAGATCACTATACCAGCTCTTGACTAAATGCCCAGGATCTGAGAGTTGTCACCTGTGAGAGCAGGGGATTGAATCTGAAGACCTTTTTCTTCCCCCTTGATTTTTTTCTTTTCCTAGTTTTGAAAGCAAGCAGTCCCTCTCCCAAAAGAAGAAGGAAATGATTTCTGTTCTCCTCAGGTGAAAGTCTGTGGACTCTGGAAGTTCATAGGAGGCTTTTGAGGGGCAGCCCCTCACCTTGATGTTCCTTCTATTTTCTCCCCAATAAAACATCTGCAGCAATCCAGGGGAGCAGCACAACAATGTTCTCCCCTCCTGACCTTTCCCCCTCCCCGGGACAGTGCTCTGCATTCACCCTCAACTACTGGGAATTTTCTGCAAGAACCACAAATATTGCTGAGAACTCAGATTACATTTTGTGTCCAAGTCCATTTCAGGGTAAATATTTATCCTGGGTAAATATTTGTTAAATAAACTGAAATTCAGATTAATATTTAGGCACTCAATTAAATCAATTTTCCCTTTGCAGGACAACTGTTTTAAATTCTCTTTTTAGGTATATAACCTTTCTGTAAATACATGCTATTACATACCACAGAGAAAAAAATGCTTCATAAGGCACACATTTTAAAAAAATTTTTGAAATCATACATACATATCTGGAGTCCATTGAGGGTCTCTGAACATGAAGGAGTTTTACCTAAATACTTTTCTACAGTTTTCCCAGGAAAAACTTGGGAAGGTTTCTCCCTTGCCCTGAGCTAGCCTCTGCATGTATCCCCTGGAAATGCCACTCATCCCAATTACCTGAGAAATTCACGGGGGCTGGGGAGGTAAGGTCCCTTTTAACTCTTCATTTACTTTTTCATATGTTTTTTGGTCAACTTGTAAATATTATGCCTTCATCAAATTCATTATCTTCTAATTTTTCAAATGCCAAGTCTGTCATCAAGAGAAGCTGCAAGAAGAAACTAAAATGTCCATGTGTAAAGGCTCTTTGGTTGAACCAGGCATTCAGTATAGCCTAGTTCATGTCTGTTTATATGGAAATAATTTCTGGGTCCTATGAGGAGAAGTCATAGTATGCACACAACCTTTTCAGAGTGTATCTCTCTCTCTCACTCTCTCTCTCTCTTTCTCTCTCTCTCTCTCTCTCTCTCTCTCTCTCACACACACACACACACACACACACACACCCAGAGACAATCTGATGTTGCAGACCTATAATCTTGCTGCCTGTTCATGGAGGGGATGCCAAAGGTGTCTAAATAATCCAACTGTGTTTGGGAACAAGTGTTCTCAAACACAGTTGGATTATTTAGACACCTTTGGCATCCCCTCCATGAACAGGCAGCAAGATTATATATATTATATATAACAATAATATATTATATATAACAGGCAGCAAGATTATACATATATATATTATATATAACAATAATATTCAATATTATTTATTGTCCTGGTGTAGCCAAGGGTAACAGACCTTCTTCTACAGCAGACCCTGGGTCTGGCTGTGGTAGGGTTGTGGGATTTGGAAAGATATCTCCTTATCCCCAGCAAGATGCAAAATTATAAAGCAGAGAGAGATACTTAGAACTATGAACTATAAATGATAGGGAAGTCCCTAAAGTCTATTCTGATCTTAGCTCTATATTGTCTAAAACATAAGCGCCCTTTGTGATCCTGGATATTTTTACCATCAAACTGAGAGGCTGGGGGCTAGGAGGCACACTCTGATTTCTTTCTGAGACTTTCTTTTTGGGATTCATTTGGATTTGTTTGAGGCTTGCATGTTAAAAGAAAAGAAACTCTCTACAAAGAAAAGACACACTTTGCTCCTCAGGTAATGTCTGATTCCTGAGCAAGTTTCTCCTCTCAAATTCTTCAGGCTCTTTTTCTATACCCTCTCCTGAAACAACATAGAGGGTTAAGATTTCCCTGCTTCCAGCCGTGGAAGTAACTAAGAATCATGTAGTTAGATTTCAGGGCAAAACTCTTCTCCTGCGTTTTTCTCTGTGGGTGCCTGAACCCCAACCATTCCTTTAGGTTCTTATAACAGGAATCTCCTAGGGTCTTAAAGAGATACAGTTCCTTCCGAGAGCTGTGGCAGAGGCAGCGAGAGACAGTTACCAGCCTTACATTCAGAGCACCTTTCAGGGGAAGAAAAAAATCAGGGGGCAGAGAAGCCAGGAGACAAATGGCACAGATTCCACAGCTTGCCTGGAGGGCAAACCAAGGCAGAGCTAGTCCCCATGTGGCCCAGTTTGTTTAAGAACACTGATAAGAAGTCGAACCCCAGACTAAACCATTTATAGACACTTAAGCTGAGGCTGCAGATCCTAAGGAACTCTTTAGCATTTTGAAAAGCACTATAGAAAAAAACTTTCTGAAATGTTTCAGACTTGTGTGGAGGGTTTATGTGGGACTCATATGAACACAGACCTGTAAGCAATTCACCCTGAAAGGAAAAGTGAGGGTTTATACCCTTCCCCTGAGGAGCACCGACAGCCAGGAGGAAATTGTCCCGTTATCGACAACAAAGGGCCATTGTAATATTTGTTCCACTCTCAAGAGAGTTTGTGTTTGCTAGAGAGCTATGTTCGGGGAGGATATGGCAAATGGGATTTTTTCAGAAAACTTGCACATCCAAGGTAGACATTAAATCTCCCTCCAAATGCTATGCTTCCTCTACTCTCCACAGGTGGTACTTAGTCATTGCAGATATACCCCACCATCCAACATTCCCTGTGATCCCAGAGAAGCAAGGCAGAAAGGACTCTGAGCTGGAACATTCTCTTGCCTCTTAACTTGCCTTGAGCTGGTTCCATAAGCTCTGAAGTGACTTCACCTCTCTGTGTCGGCTGCTGCGTTTACCTGCCTCTCAGGTACATCAGAGAGAAGGACTCTGGCTCATGGCATCAATAAATGCCTACGTCCTGGCTGCTCTGCAGGTGGTGTGCTCTCTTTTCCCTGCCACCCCACCCTGTCCCCAGTTTGAAAACTCACACCACGCACTGTTTTTCATGTCCACAGCTGAACTCTGTTCAGAAACATAGATTTGAATGAGCACCTTCTGCCTTAGACAGGCTTGCTACCTTTTGCAAAACAGGACTCTATGCCAACAAGGGCAGGGTCATTTTATCCCCTAAGAAACTTCCCTGGTCTCTTGGAGGCAATTTCTGCTGACTGAAAACAGACTGGGCCTGGAGTTCAGCTCACTCCCTCGGGCTCCCACCCAGGGCACTAGTTACTCTCATCTCTCACCTGTCTCAATGAGGCAAACACATTTATGCTCCATAAGTCAGTCCCTGCCACAGACTTACCTGTGAGTGGACTTCACTCTGGAGTGGGTGAAGCTCTCAGGGTGGTGGGTGCAGCTTCAGGGCCAGGAGATCTGCCCCAGGCACATCCCTGGAACTTCTGCCTGCTCTGGGGTCGGGGCTCCTTCTCCTCCGGTATTGTTCCTAAGTGGGCTGTGATCCTCCCTCTCTATGGAAACCGCTCCACTCCCTTGTGTATCTATATAAAAGTGACAGATCACTGGGTGGATAGTAATTCCAGACGTGCTGTCTATGCTGGGATGAGATTTCATTTAAAATTCAACCAGAGCCAGCTGTCCACGTCACAGAGATGACAGGTACTCTGTAGCCTCGACCCCTCCTACCCTTCCCGCTCCCCCGCCTCCACTTCCCTTTCTGCCCTAGCAACTTGCTTCATTCATTAAAATAATAATGAAAAACCCCACTGGTAAACTAAGAAGCAGTGTCTTCCAGGAGTTTTATGACTGATATTAGTTCTGAGGATTTCAGCCTCGCTTACATCTATCTCCCTCACTAGAACCCTCCTGTCGGAGGAACCAGGACCTGCTTTGAAATGAGGAAAGTGGTTTGGAGCTCATTTGCTGTCTGTCATTTATGTAGTTTCTGACTGCGCAGTGCTGGCTTGGTTACCTACATGGCCCATTATGTTTGTGCTGGTCCTATGCACTGTGCCCAGAGCTTTTAATGGGAAACCACATGATTTTTTTACTCACATATGCACCCCATATTTATTGAGCACCTAGTGTGTGCTGGTACTGCCTGACTCTCAGGAATTCAGGGTTAAGTGTTGGGGCCTGTCCATACAGGGCACTTGGGGGTGAGAGAGAGGTGAAAGCAGAACCTAATTTCCATGTACCAGAGGCAGTAGTTCAGCAGGGAGCGGCCTCGTCCACCCCAGACTGGTCTGTGTGCATTAAGAGAGGGGAGAGGCTGGGCTTCACCAGGCAGGGTGGTGGTTTGTGTGGGCAGAGCCAAGAGAGAGAGTCAGCTCGGAGGTAGGTGGCAGCAGCAGGCTGGGAGCTGTCCACCCTGAGAAGTGCTCTGAAGATGGGTCCAGGGGGTAAATTTTATCCCCTCCATCATGGGGAGATATGGGAGACTCCAGGTGGCTTACCCTTGGCTCACAGTCGAGGAAACTGAGTCCATAAAAGTGACTAACCAGGATCACGCAGGCCTGGGTGACAGTGGGGTGAAAACCAGGCCCCACGCTGACCCTGGACTCTTACATCCACCTCAATCCTTGGGCTGAGTGGATCACAAGGCAGCTGTGAGATGGCTGGGTCTCTTGGGCCTGCTGTCCAGACCACAGTCCTTACCCACATGGCTGCTCCTGCGGTGAGATTCTTCTAGATGCGAACTCCTGAGGTTTTCAAACCTCTCGAATGCCCACACGTATTTTAGGGAACAAATGGAGAGCTGCTTTTGACAAGGGCTCCAAAATACCTCTCCACCCCTAATTTTAACCTGTATGGAGATGTGCGATGGGGCCTCCTTCCCATTTCTTCTTCTGGAGCTGTCTGGGCTGGGATTCTCTAGAGATTGGAGGTAACATGAGACTAGATCTGCATTTTCATCTAAATTCATTATTTCATTCATTCATTTGTATATACTGGTCTAGGAGAAGGTTTTTAACTTTTCCACTTCAGATAATTAGGCGATGATGAAATTTATGTATGTCAAGAGTAGATTGTCTAATTCTGCTTTCCACCTGAAGAACTCTCAGATGCCAGGGACCAGTCTTGTGAAGATGCAGACATTGGTACCCTCAGGACAGAGTTTTCAACCTCAGCATGATTGACATTTGGGCCAAAGAATTCCTTGTTGTGGGGGCTTTCCTGAGCATTAAAAGGATATTTACCTGCCTGCATTAGACACCAGTAGTATACCATCTCATCCCCTCCTCCATTTGTGACAACCAAAAAGATCTCTGGACCTGTTCCCTGGGGGCAGAAGTACCCACAGTTGAGAGGCACAGCCCTGGAGTACAGGGTTAGGAAGACAATAAACCTTGGATTCTTTCCCTGTCAGTCTTTCTTGTTTCCTTAGGACTTCCCAGAACTCTCCAGATCATAGTCCTTACCCACATGGCTGCTCCTGCTGTGAGATTCTTCTAGATGTGAACTCCTGAGGTTTTCAACCTCTTGAATGTCCATAAGTGTTTTGGGGAACAAATGGAGAGCTGCTTTTGACTAGGGCTCCAAAATACCTCTCCACCCCCAATTTTAACCTGTATGGAGATGTGCGATGGGGCCTCCTTCCCATTTCTTCTTCCAGAGCTGTCTGGGCTGGGATTCTCTAGAGATTGGAGGTGACATGAGACTAGATTTGAGACCCTGAGACCAGACCTGTACTGGAACCAAGGCATCTGTGTGGCTGTGTGGCAGTGGCTGTCTTTGGAGCCCAGGGTCCCCTTGCCATATAGAGCAGGCTCGTTGGTTTCCACTGGTCCATCTGGGGTTGGCTTTGGAGTTGACCACTGACCTTTGCTAGCCCAGACAGAGTTCTACACACAATGCCACATACACTGGCCAGTGCTGAGGTGGGAAGAGAACCTTTCTTGGAGATGAAACCCTCATGAAGTAGTACTGTTTGCTTTACAACTTAAAACTGCCTCTGCTCGCATCTGTTGGGGGAGAGGCTTGGACGGTGTGAGGATGATTAGTGAAGAAACCCCCAGGTATCATTTCCAATAAACAATGATTTCCCTACCCACCACATCGCTGAAATATAAACAAGCCATGCTGCTTCGCTTGCACTTCTCTCCGGCCTTGGAGAGCCATTGGCATCTTTTATAAATTTAACAGCAACATTTAGAACATTGTTTGAGGGAGGTAAATACTCTGTAGAGAGTCTGTAGAGAGTTCGGGTGAGAAGAAAAAGCTGATCTGCTCCATAGAGGAATAGAAATGGCTCATCTATACAAAGCTCTATTTCTCCAAAGTTCTCAAAACACTGGCATAAATAATACAACTCCTTTCTCCCAGCCTGAGCTTGGCAGTAAAGGAAAAAGATAGGAAATACACATCAGGGAATTGCAAGAAAGCTTGATTTGTGGAGAAGAAGTTTTACCTTGGAACCAGGAAAGTCAGTTTCATTTCTTTCTCTGTGGCCAGCATGGCTATTTGATTTCAACTATCACTCAGTCCTCTGGTCTTCTGTTTCCTGTTTTACGAAGTGTGAATTTGTGTACTTTCCCTTGTTTTCTAACGAGGTCAATGCCAAGACACTAGTGTAGGCAGTTGATAAAGTTTGGCATGAAGGCAGAATATCATGGCTGACTATCTTGTTCCGTTTTTCCCCCTTATGTTCAGTTCTCCCTGGCTGATGGACGTTGCTTTGTTTGGTTTCTTACTCTAAGAACAGTGAACGTTAATCTCCTCTTGTGTTTGAAAATTGTCTATTTCTTCTTTTAAGTGTGTCCAGTTTTGCTTTATGCAGCCAAAGTGTTTGGTATATGCAAATGATTCCTTTTGTCATTTTGCTGCAAATCTTTTTATCTCCAATAACTTTTTTTTTGTGTCTTATTTGCTTTGCCTGAATCAAAATAGCTATCCCAACTTTCTGTTGGGTAACATTTATTTGATGCATTTATTCCAGTCGTTTTTGTGTCAGAATTCTTCTGTATATAGTTTATATTTAAATTTTAAAAAATGGAATCTAAAATCTCTATGTTTCAGCCAAGGACATTAACACATTTATACTAATAGTGATTACTGATAGATCATCTTAAGCCTTCTCACATTGTGCTTTCTATGGCCCTGTTTTTTTCCACCTCTAATTAATTCCTGTTTTTCCTTTTCTGCATCTGTTGATCAAGTCTTACTTTTTGTTTTTTCCTCTATTATTTTCATTTAAAGCTATGCTTTCCCCTTTAAGTACTGCTTTAGCTGCATCCTGCAAATTTTTGATGGATTGTATTTTCATTGTCACTCAGTTCAAATATTTTCAAAATTTTTTTTGTGATGAAGGGTAGTGGACTATGCAGCCCAAATTGTATCACTTTAACATACGCATCATTAAGCTGAAGGCAATTCAGAAGAAGCAGATCCAAGAAAAGATTTCTACCTTCTCCATATTTGCTTAACGCAGGTTATAAATTTCTAAATATGTCCCCCCGCCCAGGAAGAAGAGAAATGAATCCCCAGAGACTTCTTTGGCCTGGAGATAGTGCTGGAGGAATCTACACAACACACCTTGCTAACCCATTCTTATCTACTTTTATACCTTCCCACAATTTGCTCCTGTAGAATCCCAGTTCTTTTCCTTTGCCTTATCACTGGAGTACTCCTATGTTAATGAACAGTGCACAGGTCAGCAAACTTCTGTTCTTCTCTCATTAATCTGTCAATCTGATTTATAGGACTCCAGCCAGAGAAGCTAGGATGGTAGAAGGATTGCAAAGCAGTTATTACTTATTTGTTCCATAAATAGTTTAAAATGTGTTATTGAGTTTCTATATATTTGGGCTTTTCCTAAATACTTTTAAATTTTGTGTCCATCTTAATTATGTTGTGGTCAGAGAATAGATTAGATCCTTGAGTTTTGTTGAGGCATGATTGTAGTTTGCTTGTGACCTAGCTTGGTGAATGTAATATGTGCACTTAAAAGAATGTACATTTTTCAGTTGTTGAGTATTGTGTTCAGTAACTTCCTATTAGTCCAAGTAGTTGATAGTATTGTTCAGATCCTCTGTATCTTTACTAATATTTGTCTAGTTGTTCTATCAATTACTGAGAGAGTGTGTTAAAATCCTCTATTATGATTCGGGAATTTAATTTTCCCATTATAATTTTATTAATTTTTGTTTCACATTCTTTTGAGGCTCTGTGATTAGGGCATGTCCTTACCTCCTCTTTATTTTGTGGTACTGGGGATTGAACCCAGGGGCACTCAACCACTGAGCTCCATCCCCAGCCCTTCTAAGACTTTGAGATTTTGAGCCAGGCTGTCACTAAATTGCCTCCTTCCTTTCTTTCTTTTTGTTACTAGTATATATCAATTCTACAGAGTAGTGGTTTCATTATGTCATAGTCAAATATGCATATAACTTTTTTTTAACCTGCAAATGCCAAAATTTTATTCTCTTTTATTGCTGAGTGATATTCCATTGTGTATATATAGCACAGGTTCTTTATCCATTCATCTACTGAAGGGCATCTAGGTTGGTTCCACAATTTAGCTATTATGAATTGTGCTGCTATAAACACTGATGTGGCTGTGTCCCTCTATTATGCTGATTTTAAGTCCT